TACCTTGGCTCCGGGGATCGTGCGGATATGGTGATAGGTCTCAGTCGTCCACCGTGGTTTTGTAGAGGACACATCTCGGTTGTGATTAATCATGTCGGCTGCCTCGATCTTTTGGATCGGCGTCAAGTTGGATGATATCCTCACTTGCTCGTGTAAGTTATCCTCCTGGGGAAGGGTCTCCTGCATGACTAAGCATGCCTCGCGATCGTGCCAAGGTTTTAGAAGATTGATGTAGTAAATTTGCTCCGATTTCCAGGGGCCCGGCTGCCGTACCTTTATAGTTCACCTCTCCCACGGCTTCGATTACTTTATAGGGTCCCTGCCACTGGGCCAACAGTTTACTTTCTGCTGTGGGCACCAGTACCATCACCCGATCCCCTGGTTGGAACCGTTGAAGCTTCGCTTTGTGGTTATAATGGGTTCGTTGGATCTCCTGTGCTCTCTCCAAGTGTTCCCGTACAATGGGCGTAACTCGGGCTATCCGATCTCTCATCTGCAGTACATGCTCAACTATGTTCCTTCTGGGATTTGGCTCCTCTTCCCAGGCTTCTCTGGTTATATCCAATATGCCCCGAGGGTGGCGCCCATATAGTAGTTCGAATGGAGAGAAACCCGTGGAGGCTTGCAGAACCTCCCAGATGGCCAACATGAGGTAAGGCAATAGAGTATACCAATCTTTCCCATCCTGGCTCACCACTTTCCTGATCATGGCCTTGAGGGTCCTATTGAAACTTTCCACAAGGCCATCTGTTTGCGGGTGGTATACAGAGGTCTGTAGGGCTTATACATGGAGCAATGAACAGAGATCTTTCATCAACTTGGACATGAAAGGTGTCCCTTGATCAGTCAATATCTCCTTGGGTAGCCCAACCCGGGCAAAGATCTGTACTAGCTCCTTAGCTATTGTCTTGGAAGCTGTGTTGCGCAGGGGAACAGCTTCCGGGTACCGGGTTGCATAGTCCAGTACAACAAGCACATGTTGGTGGCCCCGAGCTGTCTTCTCTAGGGGCCCTACCAGATCCATGGCTATCCGTTCGAAAGGAACCTCTATTATTGGAAGAGGTATCAAAGGAGCCCGCAAGTGCGGGTGAGGGCCATGTAACCGACACTCCGGACAAGAGGTGCAGTATCGCCAGACATCTTCATGTACTCCTGGCCAGAAGAACCTCCGTAGGATCTGTGTCTGGGTTTTCTCTACCCCTTGGTGTCCTCCAAACAGATGACTGTGGGAGAGACTCAATATGGCTTTTTGATGTTTTCGTGGCACCAGAAGTCGTCGTATCTCTTGCTCCTGCATTTGCACCACACGGTACAGGAGATCTTTCTTCACTATAAAGTAAGGTCCGGGACTCCGGACCTTCCCATCCACGGGTATCCCATTGATCTTGGCCATCTCTTTCCTGGCATTATCATATCTGGGGTCCTCCGCCTGGTCCCGCCAAAAGTCTCTCTCCCGGGACTAACCTGCCCAAGCTCCCAGGGGCCGGCTTCTGCTTCTTCCAATGGCTCATCGCCATCATGGCTGGGGGCAGCTTCTGGCTCACCTTCTGTGGTGGAAGTTTCTCTGTTGGCTGCTCACGTCCATCTGCCTACTAGGGAGGTCTTCTGACCCTGGGTCAGGATCTGGGTTCTCAAGGCCTTCGTGGCCTTCCTCTCTTTTTTTGTCTTCCAGGTCTTTCGGGGGGCTGAGAACAGATCCTGAGAAATCTCAGTGAACATTAGGGGTTGACATTCCCCAGTGAAGAGTTACTGTCCTCAGGGTTCCCACCTCCCTCCAGCCTTTCCGGGGGGAGTAAATTATCAAACCCTGGATAGTCCCTCCCAATGACTCCAGGATATGGGAGTTTAGGAACTACGCCCACGGTCACCTCAATGGGGTTTCCCTGAACCTCTGTCTCCACTGGGATGGTGGGGTAATGGCTCATGGCCCCATGCATGCATGTCACTGCTACGCGTTTGGCTTGTAGCAGCTGACTACTTTTTACCAGCTTACCCGATATGAGGGTGATAGCACGCCCAGAGTCCACAAGCGCTGTAGTCTCTGTTCCATTTATCCTCACTGGCCTGGTGTAATTATGTGGGGCTAATGCGACCCCCATGAGGTGGAAAAGGGAGCATGGGACCTCCCAATCCCCCAAGTTACATTGCATAGGCTCCTCGGTGCTGGGACACTGTGCTGCTATGTGTCCCCACTCCCCACATGCATAACATCTATAATTGCTTTTAATCACTCCCCTATCCCGGGGGTTAGGGACTTTAGTCCCGGGGTGCCCCCCCTTCTTCCACTTAGGACTCCCCAGGGGTTTGGCTGCCCAACCTTCCAGGGTTGGAGTCCGGTGCTTGCTTCGAAAGGGGCCTTCCTTGGGTAGTCGGGTCAGTTCCCTGGCTGTCATTCATCTTTCTACCAGTGTGATCATCTCGTCGTACGTGGACGGATCATTCTGGCCTACCCATTTGCGGAGATCTGGCGGCAGTCCCCACATGTAATGGTCTATGACCAGAGTCTCCAAAATCTCCTCCGGCCTGCACAACTCGGGCTGTAACCACTTCTGCGCGAGGTGTATGAGGTTGAATAGTTGGGACCTCAGGGGTTTGTTCTCCTGGTATTTCCACACATGGAACCTCTGGGCCCTTACTGCTGCCGTTACCCATGATTGTGCTAGGATCTCTGCCTTCAGACGGGTATAGTCGCATCCGTGGCAGGTAAGTCAAAGTAGGCCTTCTGGGCCTCTCCACCCAAAAAAGGGGCGAGAACACTGGCCCACTGCTCCTGGGGCCATGCCTCACGCTGAGCAATCCTTTCGAATGAGAGGAGATATGCCTCTACGTCATCTCCTGATGTCATCTTTGGCAGACAACCAGTGGCCCTCAGGGTTCGCGTCCCATCGGACCCCTGGGCCTGGATGATGAGGATCTTTAGCTGGTCCACCACCTCTCTCAAGAGGGCACGATCTTGGGTCGCCTGGCTCGTTAATAATTGATTGATTTCCTGCTGTAGCCACATAGACTCTTGTTGTGCCATTGCCTGAACCCGGGTGGCCTCCTGGTGGGCTGCTGTGGCTTGTACCAGAGCTCTTACCACCTCCTCCATTGTGGTACAAAGCGAACAAACAAACCAAACAAAAAAATGATCCAAAACCCCAGTGCACTTTTTTTAAAAACCTCTTTCTTCCGCCATGCTGTGAACGAAGTCCCACTCCTGACACTAGTTGTGACAAAGCTCTGTCCTTGCCTCCGTGGGTCCCACTTTTCCTGGCAGATTTTGCTAGCCTCAGAGGCTCACTGTGACCGTGCACGTAACCCTTCTCTCTCTACAGACAAGCGTCACCGTCTACTGAGCCATTTTCATCATAAGCCAGCGAGGGAGGTGAGGAGAAGTTATCCTTCCTTGCATAGTCTCTGTTGTCTTCCAGGCTCAGTGATTAATCGGGGGCAAAGGTGAGGGGGGAGCCCGGGTCCACCCTCTACTCCGGGCTCCAGCCCAGGGACCCTAACAGTATCAGCTATGGTAGCTGACCTTTTAGGAACATGACATGTACAATTCCCTGGGCTACTTCCCCCACAGCAGCCCTCACTTCCTCAAGCTCCACTTCACCCTTACCTCAGGGCCTCCTTCCTTGTGCCTGATATGGTGTGTACTACTCAGCCTCTCCAACAGCGCAACTTCCTCCCACAGCTCCTGACACGCACACCCACCTGACTAACTGGGAGGCTTTTACTAGTTTCAGCCAGCCCCGGATTGGCTTCAGGTGTCCCAATCAACCTAGCCTTCTCCCTGCCTTCTGGAAAGTTCTTAATTGGCCCCAGGTGTCTTAATTGACCTGGAGCAGCTGCCATTTCACTTATCCTGGTACCAGGGATTTGTTTAGCCTGGAGCGAATATATCTATCTCCCACTACTTTTCTATAGCCATCTACTTGCCCTGTCACAATAGTTAATAGTAGGTAGTTAGTCTTTAGTGTTAAATTAGAGTACTTAGAGTCCCGACTGGAACTTCGTCCCCAAGTGGAGCATGTCCCGCTCCCCTGGCTTCAAGTCAGGTGCGTCATGCAACAGGCTGATGCAAGTCAGTGACCCACACGACAGCTGCCTGAAGTGTTTGGGGGAATCCCATAGGAAGGACAAGTGTCGTATTTGTAAAAACTTTCGTCCTTGCACAACTTGGAACTGCCCTGTAACGTCTTCAACAAGGACAAGGTCCAGCTGAGACCACGCCCAGCTTTCCTGCCCAAGGTGGGGGCCTCAGTTTCATTCAAGCCAGGACATTTACTTACCGGTCTTCTTTCCAAAGCTGCATAAGTCAGAGGAGGAGTGTAGACTGCATGCCTTGGACATTAGGTCACTAGCCTTCTACATCGATGGAACCAAGCCATTCCGAAAGTCTATGCAATCACAGTGGCTGACAGGATGAAAGGTCACCCTGTATCCACCCAAAGAATTTCTTCTTGGATCACTGCCTGCATTTGCTGCTGCTACAATCAATCAAAGGTTCCACCCCCAGCAATTGTCACCATCCACTCGACCAGAGTGCAGGCCTCTTCAGTGGCTTTTCTGGCCCAAGTGCCTATCCAGGACATCTGTAGGGTGGCCACCTGGTTGTCCGTCCATACATTTGTCCCACTGTACACTTACTCAGCAGGCCTGGGACGATGCTGGTTTCGGTAGGGCAGTACTGCAAGCCACAAAACTCTGCACTCTGAGCCCACCTCCGTAGATACTGCTTGTGAGTCATGTAGAATGAAATCGACATGAGCAAGCACTCGAAGAAGAGAAAGAAAGAAAAGCCTACTTTTCATAACCTTTGTTCTTCGAGATGTGTTGCTCATGTCCATTCCATTACCTGCCCTCCTACCCCCTATCCAAGTTGCTGGCAAGAAGGAACTGAGAGGACATAGGGATAGTGGTTCCTAATATACCGACGTGTGAGCGTAGCACTCTCGGGGGCACCACAGGCGACCCTACAGATACCGCTAAGGGAAAAATCTCTGACGACTGTGCACATGGGCGCGTACACATCTAGAATGGAGCAACACATCTTGAAGAACAACAGTTGTGAAAGGTATGTAACACGTTTGTGTGTGTTTACCATACTTGAAATGTTAATGATTCCCCCTAGGTTTTGCTTTTTAAAATTTGACTGTGGTGAAAGAAGGAATGTTGATCACACCTCTTCAAACTATTCAGCCTCTTCCTTATTTCCTGCTGTGTGGAGGACAGTAAAGCTGGGATTCTGTAGCAAACAGAAGTTACTCCATTTTGATAATGAGTGAGTGATTCCTAAATACACATTTCATAAATTGCTTTGTGCTCACAGAACATAGGAGGAGTTGGAAGTAATGCTATAGCTAGGCGCTGGCAGGTACATAGAAGGGAATTGTGTAAACGGACAGATGCAGATTTGGGTGTTTGCAATTAAATGGTGTCCAAAGTTACTAGCAGAAGTCATCTCAGGATGAGAAGAGAAAAAAGCAGAGCAGAATGGAACTTCAGAGCATAGCCATTTACTCATGCAGATGCCTAGCAGTGTTGTCCATGCAACCTGCCTTATACCATATTTATTATGAACCCAGAAAGGCCATAAAGTATGTTAAAAAGTAAGATTGTTTATCTTTTTAGGGAGTTCCAGCTGACTTTTGAAAAAGTCCTTGTTAATGCTATAGACCTTATAATCATAAAATCCATTTATAGCCTTCAGTTACTAAGCAACGAAGGACAAAGTACTGAACTTTTTCACTCATTACTAAATTCTGTATGTTAGTGCTCTGGTTTTGTAAGGAAAACATCAGGAAGATAATGCCTAACATCAGATTTCTGATATTTTGTTCTGTTTGTCTAAAGTTAAACCAATCCAAAGGAAAGTGGTTTTTATGTGTGTTGAAGTGTTTCAAAAACAGTTTGACAACCCAAGTCCAGTAAATGGAGTAAAATATCAGAACCCCTGATGTCCAGACTAGTTGCTTTGTACTGATCCCAGCAGGCAGATGACTATGAAATAGTCTTCAATACCTGCATTTTATGGTGCAAAATATGGACCTACATCAACCTACCTTACACTTATATTTGATTGAATGATGTATGCAAACAATGGTTCTCGAAGTGTGATGTGAAGAAAACGTCTCATGTCTAGAGCTGCTCCGTCATCTCCCACTACCTCTTCCATGCTGCCCACTGCTTCTTACATTTCCCATCCCTCCTTGCATGTGGAAATCTAGCCCCAGTGTGAAAGTGTGGCCCTTCTATCATGTGCAGGAGGGTTTTATCTGAAGGCAGGGGCAATGTGGTTGTCTTCTGTACACATGAGAAAGTGAGCTACAGCATTCTGCATGTGCTGGAGTCTGGAGTATTATGATCTGGGGAAACCATGGACTGAATGTCAATCTTTCTTTCTTTTTAATTGAAGGGCAAGATGTGCATGGAGCTCTGGAGAATGCTATGGTGGATACAAGTATGTTGGAAGAATTCCTTGGCAGTGACTTGGAATTTGGAGCCTTGTAAGTATTAGCAATGAGAACTGAACTTGTTAGCACATTTCTTGGGTTCTGTAATCGCAACATTGCTACAGTCTGAACACAACAATCACACCTCAAGTCCCATTCAAATCTGTGTTCTACAGAAAGTAACTTGATCAAACAGAAGTCCTGATCCTTTCTTGAAGCTCTATGTCTTGAAAAAAGAGAGGGAGATGGCAATTGAAACATGATTTTCTTTTAAGGTACAGTAGAGTTAAAGGCATGGATGATACTGAAGGATAGGCTCATTGATAACTTTCACATTAGTTATTGTGGTAAATTTAAACGTGTCAAACATATTACTTTTTTGTGGATAAGAACTGCTGCTTCCATCCTAATGTCCCTTTCATAACTAAGAAACAACTCATTGATCTCTTTAAAAATAATTTATAAATTACGATACACTATTCAACAGAGCATAATTGAGGACAACTTACTATGGACCACAAATCCATCAGACCTTAAAACACAGATAATTCATCCTAACTGCCAGATGACTGTCATTAAATACAAAAGATTGTTATTCAAAGCCTGAAACCTACCAACACCTGGTCAAAGAATGTTTGGGTGGGGAGGGTAAAACCTCATGCCATTTCTCATTCTGGACGTACACATACACATACACATGCACTGCACAGATTTACAATGGGCTAAGTAGGCTATTACTGACCCATTTTCATTCATGAATTATGAATAAACTTTCTCAGTTTGCAGGCAGAGGAAAAAATAAGAATATAAGGAATGCTTTACTTGGATACTTGCGGTCTTAGTTTTTAGTATCACTAAGCATATAGAAAGAACTAGATTACAGATGATTAAACCTCCTTTAAAATGAGACTTCACTTCTCATGACCATATGGTATTGCCAGTTAACAGGTTAAGTAGGAAAAGCCTATTACTCCATATCTACTACCACCGTTATGAATCTACAGTAGATATAATATTATATACTTGTAGATAACTGCTGTATAATCATGTAACTTTTTTTATATATACATAAATAAAAATGTGTGTGTGGGGGGGCAAAATATCAAATGTATCATATTTTGGGGGCTTAACTGATTTTTAACTATAGTGAAGTGTAGTAACATTTTATTAATTATTAGGTTAACAGTTCAATAACTATTCTTGTCAAAATTCTGTAACTAAAATTACAATTCTCTGCATTGAAGTATGAAAAACAAAACCAAAAATAAAGTTTTACGGAGAAATCCATATAAATCCACATAAAGAGCCTGGGCATATTTAAAATACAGATTAAAGAGAAAAGTATATTAATACAACTTTTTCTCTGTTTTTTTTGAAAGAAGATATTCATATTATTAAGAAGGAGCAAGGATGCAACGCTGATACAAAAGACAACAGGCATGGTGCAGTGAATATAAAAACTGGCCCAAATAAGTTTTTGCACTTACATTTTGAAATGATCTTTAGGAACAATGCATACTATGTTGCAGGCACAAACAGAGTAGAATCTCAGTAAGTTGCTATTATGTTTTTTAAAAATTGTGAGTGCCATGGAATACATCATCTACACTTCTCTCCTTTTGCACAGTGAAGCTGACACAATATGTGGTTTTCCCCACCTTTTTCCATAGTAAAGGCAAAAAGTGAGGGGCAAATGAAAAGTAAAACATTGAACTTTTGTTTCCCAAGTGGATACTTAATGGATGTACCAAGTTTGTGATTCAAGTTTATTTCAAACATGTAATTTTTTTTTTAACACAAAACCATGGTATTTTTCCAACTTGAATCTACAGTAATTTCCTTCCCCTTTCAATGACTGTTTACTTTCCTTCTTCTAGTAGTGTATAAACTATGTTGTTGGACTTTCATTTGAAATATTTTAATTTAAAACAGAAAGTAGGTGGGTACCTGAGGCAATGTCTGAAACCAGGAAACGTACATACAGTATATAGAAGAGAAGTTGCAGGCTTTTATAGATTTACAGTTCAAATTTTACGAGGCAAATCAGTTTCCTAACTCTAGTTTGTTAAAAGTTAGAAAACAATGTTTAAAATATTAAACACAGTTTTTAAAAGCTCTAGAAATATCTCCTTACTCTGAAGAAAACTTTAAATGTTATTCATACACTCACTTCTTAAAGGGCATTCACCAAATCACATCTGGTCCAAAATGTAGGTTTTATAAATGTGACATTTTATAAAACCAAGAGCAATAGAACCTTGAAATGCACCACAACATGTAAGTGAAATGGATTGCAAACAAAAGTGAAACTGACTTGTCTTTCACAGTGTGCAAACTAAGATATACAAAATTAAACAGTGTAAATAGTAGAATGTAAACTAGATCACTGAAACTCTATTTTAATCACAAAAGTGTTTGCAATAGAGGTAAGGGCATTTTTGTATTAATGTTTTTAACTTAACAGCATCCCTTTAAATAATTGCTTTCTATTTAACCTTGTTGCAGGGCACTGGGTGTTGTACAAGCAGATAGTGCTCCTCCCCCACCCCCCAAAAAATTCCTTTGCAATTAGCTTTCTTTTATTAACCTGTCTATTTATAAATCCTACCCATCAATTTCTCAGGCAGCATTTCAAAGTAGAGATTGAGTCTGAAATTTACAAAGGAGCCTGCAGGAGTTATGCACCCAACTCTGACTGAATTTCCATTTCCTTTTGCGTTTAAATAATTCCTACCTTTAACTGAGGGTCTCTTCCAGTTCTGGGTAAATGACAGTGTTATTGCATAGGCAATTCCCTGCCTTGGGCTCCTTTGAAAGTCCCAGCTGGAGTGTATGTGTGAGAGCTGCCTCTTGGCCAACATCAGGAATTGAATGGGGGCGGAGGAGGGGCTCTGCAGCTTGAAATGGAGAGTCAACCTCTTAAGCTGAGAGCTGTAACAGACCCCATCTTGACTGGGCACATTGGGGACATACACTGGCCAATGGGTTACACATGCAGCTCTTATCTTTACAGACCATTTTAATGTAGTGTGATGTCAGAGACTGGCTTGCATGGTTATGAGCCTAACAAAAACATCATTTGTAATGTATTTTAATTCGTTCAGATTTCTAAAATGCAACCATAGGCACCAAGACTGTTCTGGGCAGCTATCCCACCGGTCGAACAAAGTGGGAGTGGGGTTTTATACATGGTATGAATAGCTGGTCTTAAATGATAAGGTTACGCTGGCTTTTATGCTTTTGCCTCAGCAGGGCTGTGTGCATTTAAAAAAAAAATCTACCAATCCTCTGTATTCCTGAGCATTTTGGGAGTTAGCTATGAACAATACAAATATTGACCCCCTGTTAAGGTCTTCCAAACTGAGCTGAAAAATTACATGGGGATGAAAATGAGTCCAAATAGACTGCCTGGGGGCGCTGAGCAAAGCACGCATCTTGCCTGGAAACCCTGCCCTGAACTCACTCTTTCCCAGTGAGTTTGCAGGGGCCTGGCTCTAGTTTCTATTTGAATCAGACAAATGCAAATTCAACCCCCTTCCATTGTGTCCCGTGCCCTCTCCTCTCTTCTATTCCTACTTTGCATCTCTTAATTTCCACAGCACTGAAGTTCTGGAGGCCAAAGCATAAGCCAGAACAAATTGTCTAAAGCTGATAGCTTCTGCTGATGAAGATACTGGGCGTCTCCCATCCACAGCCTAGAGAGAAAGGGAATTTTAAATTTTTATAGGCAGGCCAAGCCTTTAAGGCTACCAGGTCCATATGTTATGAATTACTCATGTGGTTTGAGGTAGTTAAAGATTGGCTTATGGTTATTATGTATTTCTTTTCTTAGTGAAATAAAAGTATCCTTTTCATCTCTAGGCAAAGCCTGTTACCAGAATCACCGCCAGATTCAGTATCAGAACCATATTCTCCAGCACAATTGAAGGGTGGGTTGTGCGAGTTCTAATCTTACTGTACTTATTAGCATTCTTTCTATTCTCTTTATGATTAAAATGTTTCATTTGTTATTCCTTGCAGCTTTACATTATGATGCTTCAGGGCCAACTGGACTGCGGCCGTCACTTTCCTTCCCTTCTGCTGGGGCACCCGATACATTTCTTTGTAGATACCCTGACAGTTTCTCTGACGTGAGCACCAATGGACATTCTTGCGGTGTTCCTCAAGACTGCTGTCTCAAGACAGATAATGCCACGTCTCCATGGAATACTTCTATATCCTCCAGCTGTCTGGGTTTAAATTATTCCTACCTTCAGCCAAGGGCCTCTCATAGTGCTGGGTAAGGTATAATTCTATTATGTAGGAAGGAAGGCAGATACAGAAGAGGGAAGGTGGCAGCTGCTCTTAAGAGCTATATGGTTTCAGTCTGGAAAGAACTACGTGTAGAAAAATACTGGTGGGTGCAAGTTTCTCCACATGGTGGCTCTGTTTAGACATTTTATGGGATCCTTATCAGCTATTGTTCTTTAAGCACCATGTTTTAAAGATTAAAAGTCAGATTAAAACCAAAAGCAATTCAATTCAATAAAAAGTTACAAGGTTAGAGAGAGATTGTAAGCTAATGAGTAGCTGGGATGGCAGAAATATCTCTGGTATTTTACAACACCCATTTGAGGGATTTTATTTTCATGAGTTAACATTCTGACGTGAGGCATGAGAAAAACCAGCTCCTCTTACTCGTGTGATAAAACCGAATACTCGTTATATACTTGATATAGTCTTCAGCCACCAAAATGTGTTGGGTGCTTAATAATAAAACAAATAAAGATTAAGGCAAAACCTTTCCCTCGGTGCCTAATCAAAATACCTTGGCAGGCAAAGGGAAAGGGTAACCATCCCCCAGGTTGTGGACTGGAACCTATTTTGGCTTATAGCCCTTGCCCCTACACCTGTCTGGGTGGCAAATAAAAGGTCTCAAGGATCCGTATAGCGGCAGATCCTCCAGCCCTGTCTCTTCTCCCATGTGGAACTAGACTCCATGCTGCACAAGAGGTGCATCATATCCCCCTCCTCCTTATATAGCAGAAACACTGTAAATGGTCTTTTCCCTTCTCCACAGAGGAGGGAACAGAGTTTGCCCCTGTCTGACTAAACCCATTCAGGAATAAGGCTGGGATTTTAGTACAACTGGCCCAAAACAAATGCAATCTCTGTGGTGTGCTGTGTGTGTAAAACTTGCTTTAAAAAGGGTGAATTCCTTGGTGACATGGAATAAAAAGGACACTGGTATTTAAGACTGAAAAGCATAAGTCACTTAATTCAGTAAAAATAAAACAGAATCGGAACTCGAGTGAAAATTCTGTTAGAAATCAGGTACATTGGTGTTACCTTATACATTTAGTTATTCTGTGGAGTACTAATGTACAATGTACTTTTTTTTAAGTATTTCCCTGGCATCAGCTAAAAAGAGAAGGCACTCACAATTGTCAGAAGATGCCACTGATTCTCCACCATGGACTAACAACTCTCAGCAGGGTAAGTGTTTCATATTGTTGACCACTAGGACATTTTGAAAGTCACGCTAATGCTGGCTCAGAAAAGATAACAGTATTAAACCTGACAGGACAGGCTCCTTCAAACAATTTTCTTCACTGTTTGTTCAAAAGTGAGGAACTATCTGTTTTTGCAGGTTACAGATGAAACTTTAAATGTTCACACTCACTGAGTGCACTCTTCAGCCAAAGGGTTCTGTCCTCCTTACCTGCGTGAGCCTGCGGAACATAAGGGATTCTGTACTCTGTTGACCTAGTCAACAAAAGTTCACTAGGGCATGGAAACCATCTTGGGTCAGCTTAACAGGTGATTAATGTGGGGGGCAGAAGGAAGGAAGAGAATGCATTTCAGCGTCACTTGCCATCTGATTTGACAGCTCCCTTTCTTCTATAAAATGGACCTATATAAGGGTCTGATAAAAAGCTTTTTATTGTTTTCCCCCCAACATTCATGTAATTCAGGGTTTTATCATGATGAAAATGCTGAGTCTATAATAGTCCATATGTACCAAAAGACTCATTGGGCTTCTACAGGATTGGATCAACTTTGGCATATGAGATTGTATGTAACCGAATAGTTAGTTCACAATGAACAATTTATCTGATGAATTTAAGCCTTTTAGTGAGAAGCTTGTATTTAGCTGTGACACTTTGTACATTCCCCAGACCTGAAGAAGAGCTCTGTGTAGCTTGAAAGCTTGTCTCTCTCACCAGCAGAAGTTAGTCCAATAAAAGATATTACCTCACCCACCTTGTCTCTCTAATATCCTGGGACTGACACATCTACAGCAACACTGCATAGTCAGAAGCCTGTCACTCTTTCAGACTTATAAGTTGTTTGAAATTATTAGATCAATTTTTGTGGTGGTTTCTTTTATCAACTAGTATATGGATTGACCACAAACCTTTCTCTAAGTATCTGTTGTTTGAGCTGTGTGGTAAATTGTGATTGGTCAGATGAGTCCCATAATATTGCTACTATTCCTGATGGAATGGATAAACGAGCAGTTGTAGATGCTTGCTTATGTGAATTTAAAATGTTAGGTTTTAATAATGGCGATACAGCTTTGAAATTTGCTCTGTGCAAACATTTATGTCAGTAAAACCCAGTGGCTCAATTTTAGTGGACTGTGAACACACAAGGGGCTCAAACATGGCAGAAGGAAATTAGTTTAAAAATCAAAATGAGTAACCAGAGAACACTGTTTGTAGTATTCACCCAGCTGTCTGTCAGAAACACAGTTATTGCAGCTAGGGGCTCTGGGCTGCAATTATTTCAACAGTGCTGTGCTTTTTCTGTCACACCATGCCGCCTCAGGACACATAAGGATTCTTAGATTGCTTGCTCACTGTAGTGTACGCTATATTCTGGACTCCACTCCATTTATTTGTCTCCCACATGAAGTGCTCCTCAGCCGTCATGACATGTGGAGTATCTCAAGCATCAGCATTGACGCTGGCTGCTTCAAGCTGATGTAATCGGCAGTCTGGGATGTTTCTCATGATAAAGCATTAAACAGTGATTGGCCAGCCAGTTTGAATGGCTCAATGTTGCTTCTTTCTTTTCTTTCTTTTTCTTTTCTCTTTTTTTTTTTTGCTATGGAATTAAATACTTGTTAGTTTGGACTGGTGGATTTTTTTATTTTAAGCTTATCGCAAGAGGGGTATTTGATAATTCTGGCATTTCTTCTTTCTTTGCTAGATCTTGTCACAAAATGATTATTTCAAAAATTAAAATGCTTAGCTGACAAATGATTTTTTTGCCATGTAAAAGTTGCCTTTTTCAGGGTGGGGGAGAGTAGAAGAATTAAAAGCAGTGCTACCTGAGTGATATCTTAGAGCATGAAAGGTAAAAAACCAAATGCTCTGTGACAATAAAATAAGGCAGGAAAATATTTTTGGAATAGCTACAAAGGAAAACAATGTTTTTTTTATTTGCTGGTCTTCTGCAGTGTTACAGGCTAGCCCTGGCATGTAGCAAATGAACTGTGGCATTTGTCTCTTCACAGTGACAGTAAAGGACTGTGGCACTGAAGTGCAAGACTATGACAGCGATGGACAGAATGTAGCGGCTGTGGACAAATGTTATCAGGCTCTAACATGGCAGCCATATCAAACTTCTCACTGGAGCAGCTTATTTAACTATAGTTACGAAACACTGTAAGCACAGATGTTTACACTTGGATTTATTTTTGTTTGTTTGCACTGAGCTGCTGAAATAAATGGTACATGTAGTTTTCAGAATGAAATGAGGTGGGGAGGGAAAGTGACAGTCAGAAGTGAGGATGAATCTGATCACCAGATTTTAAGGAATCACTGAATGTTCATGCCAAGCATTCTGATATATTTTTTTCAGCACAGCAGAAGGACTCTAAATCAGGTGGCTTCAGGCATGAGAACACTTCCAAGCTAACTTAAATCTATTTGATTTTTTTTTCTCTTTTTGGCAAGACAGATTGGAGCAAATAACTATTGCACATACTGCACATCACCTTCCCATGGCCTAAGGTCCTCTTAACATAGTTACCTTTGTTACTTTGTTATTGCTGCATGGGCTCTTGTAACCTATGCGACAAGGTTTTAATATTGTGCACCTGTTTTAGAGTTTGCCTGTACAGACACAGAATTTTGCAGCAGCAACAAAAGGGGGGAAAAAACCTCCGCAATATCAACATACCACCTTCGGAAAGGTCACTGCAAGTTCAGCCCTCCCTCCATCCCCCAATTTTCTATGTTCTCCTATTCAGAGAACATTTTTTTAGCAGAGATCCTTCCATGTCAGCTTGTTTATCTCCCAGGGTTGCAGCAATTAGTCACTGTGCACAGTAGAGAAGCCTTTTAAGTGCTAGGGTTAACTTGTATTTTCCTCCCGCTCCACCCTCCAAAAATAAAAAAAACACTTGCCAAAAAGAACACTTTCCAAAAAAGGTTAATTTGGGTGCATCATGTTCAGCCCTGAACACTAGTGTCTTCCATTTATGCACAGACAGCACTATGTAGCTGCAATATGAGGTGTGGGTTTTTTTTTTTTAAACACAACCCCATGCTGAAGGGATTCAGAGTAGCAGCCGTGTTAGGCTGTATTCGCAAAAAAAAAAGGAGTATTTGTGTACTTTGTCTCTAAGGTGCCACAAGTACTCCTTTTCTTTTTACTCTGAAGAGACTGTCTTACGGGTGAGCCAATAGTTCAATGTCTCTGCCTTTCAAACCTTGGTGCCTTTGCTGGGAAAGCCTACGAGCCTCCCAGTCGGCTTGGAGAGGTGATTGTGGCCTGGATACCTCTCCACAAGGAAGTGGCCTGCCACAGCCAATATATTGCACATCCACTTTTAGTCAATGGCTACATTTGAGCTGTGAATTAGAGGTGATAGGCTCTGAATCCAGTCTTATCAGCTATTTAGTTCCCCAGATGTTGAACACTTAAAACAGATGTACTTTTTTGGCGCATTAAATCAAGGAACAGATACTATGATGATTACCATAAAAGTACCTAACTAGATAAATTATGACCATTATTTGGTCACTTAGGGGATTAGGATCTTTTTTTTTTTTTTTTTGAGTATAGGTCCATGTTAGTAGTCTTTCTCCCAAGATGCATTGTAGTTATGATCTGTGTACAGAATTTCTCTGCTTCCTGATATTATATCCTGTTTGTGTCAAAAGAACGTTCATATTATCACTGCTAAGTCTAGATAGATTGTCATTGAGCCTAAAAAACCTTACTGTTTCCTCTTTTTTTAGAATTTTGTTTCTAAGAAAAAATTACCATTTTCTTTTTAATCTTTTGGTATTTTCACCATCACAGTTTACAGCAGGTGGGATTCCATTCTGAAACATGTCTCGAGCCAATTTGTTCTTGTTATAAAAGCTAAGATGAGATGGAGCTAAAATTCTAGATCTGAAAATTCCCTTGTTCTGGGAAAATTTAAATCTGAGCTGTGTGGCTCTGGCCTGTTTCTATTAAAAAAAAATTCTCAAATTTCAGCTAACTCTTAAGTCATGGGTTAAGATTTTCAAAGGTAACTGCTGATTTTTGTGGGCCTCAGTTTTGGGATATCCCATCTGAAACCCCTGAAAGTGGCCTGAGTTTTCAGAGGTGGATACTCCGCACTTTCAGAAAAGATGGCCCCTTTATGGTGTCTCAATTTGGACACCCAAAATTACTAGTTATTTCTGAAAATTCTGGCTATTGAGTGTTAGTTTTTCAGCCTTCAGCAGTCAGAATGTAAATGCTAATTAAAATTAAGTCAGGTGGTGATCCTGTAAACACTTAAGAATGGGCTTAATGTTATACACATTAGTAGTCCCATTAAGTTCAATGGAGCTATTCATGTGTGAAAATGTAAGCACATGCACACATTTTCCCAGGATTCTGGCCAGTATATATTTGAGAAATCAGTAATCCTAACTGCAGGAATGCAGTTCATGTAATCTTAAACTCACAGAATCTGTGAAATGAATAAACTTCCTGGAGACTTCAAATCAAGAAAACGAGAATAAATCTGTTTATTTTTAATTCCTAGCTACAAGTGCAAAAATTAGGAGGAGGAAAAAGTAATTCAGTGTTTATTTAGGGCAGCCAGTCTCAAACTATGGGTTGGGACCCCAAAGTGGGTCCCAACCCTGTTTTAATGGGGTCACTAGGGCTCGTGTTTGACTTGCTGGGGCCCGGGGCCAAAGTCGAAGTGTGAATCCCACCGCCCAGGGCTGAAGCCCAAGGGCTTCATGCCTGGGCGGCAGGATCAGGCTTCAGTCCTGGGTGGCAGGGCTTAGGTTACAGGCTACCTGCCTGGGGCTTGAAGCCCTTGGGCTTCGGCTTTGGCCCCCCCACCCAGGGTGGTGGGAGTAGAGCTTTGGCTTTGCCCCCATCTCGCCTGAGTGGGCAGGGCTTGGGTGGGCTCAAGCTTCAGTCCCCCTCATGGGGTCGTGTAGTAATTTTTGTTGTCAGAAAGGGGCTGTGATGCCATGAAGTTTGAGAACCCCTGATATAGGGGAAACAGAATTACATGTTTATATAAAAAAAACCCTAATCTGTTTATTTTCAAGTGCAAAAATGTTTACAACTCCCTTTAAACATTTAAATCCATCAGTTAACAAACTCGCCTCCACTTGCACTCTATCTATTTAATTTGCTGCTGCTGCTAAACGATTTATTTACAGCTACATTTTAAAGAGATGTGTAAGGCATTGTTAGTCAGTGCACTAGAAATGGCCTCATGTCACGGCTGACTGCTTTCATAACACACATACAGGGCATGATCTTCACTGTTTTATGTGCGTGATTATCCTTTTTCACATGAGCAACTTTACTGACATCAGTTGGACCACTTGTGCATAAACCTTCGTATGTCCTGGGCCTGAAGGTTCTGATCTTGCAGCCCCTCTGACCATGGAACTGATATCGACTTCATTGGCAGCTCCATGTGTGGAGGGCTTGAAGGAGTGGGGTTCTCAGTCTGTGATTTAACTCTGTGGATCAGATTACACCTCCCCTTAGATGAGTGGGAAGAAAGGTATGAGAGAACATTTCTCTTCCCCTCCCATACACCTTGGGCCTCTGCATGGAGTCCACACAGAGTCCCTCCCAGTGCTATGAAAGAAATACTGTTGGATTTGCTAGCAACCCAGGCAGAGGTGTGCTGATGTGGAGTGTATTCCAGGAAAGCTGCACTGGAGGAGCACTGTCAACATTACAGAGGCATAGACAGGTGAAGCATGCTGTCTCCTCATGCTAGCATTCCAGCCGTCTGCCTCCTCCCCAACCGCACCATGGCTCAGACTCATAAGAAATATCACTGAGCCCTAGTTAGGCAAAGGAACAGGCTCAGCACCTTCAAATCCCAATAAAACTCCTTGCAAAATCAGGCCTAGATACTCCATGTGTTTCTTAACTGCTTTATGAAGATGTGCCTGGGTACAGTAGGTAAGAATCCAACCATGACAGTACTCTTCAGAATAACCTTCAACCCAAATCATTCCTCTTGGGGAAGGAAAAGCTGTACTTCTATTTCTTGACCTGTGTGTCTGCATTGAAGCAAATGTTCAGAAATTGCTTTAAATCGTCATCTTATAAATTGGCATTGCCCTTACCTAGAAGAAATTTCAAAATTTATATAGAGGCTTAAGGAGTTTCTTCAGCGATGATGCTTTTAAAACCTGCTATACTCATTATTACTTATGTTAAAAAATAAGGGAGTTCAGAAGCAATATGGTAGTTTATGAAGCCTTTTTATCTTTGCTCTATATGCCAGAAAATCTATGATTAAAGTTTGTTCAGAAGATGATAGTCTTTATAAATCTTTTGTAAAATCTTTATATTAAATCCTTCCAACCTATAATGACCAAATAAATGGATTAGTCTTGAAAAGTTGTCATTAATGGTTGTGCTAATGAGGGGTTCCATAGTGGAACTTGATCATTATCGTCAAATCCCTCATTAATGAGGAAAGTCATTCTCCGTATCTGGAAGATTTGCCGTGTAGTCCTGTTACTTCAAGATTATCAGTCACTTATGTCAGCAGACTGCAACCATTGTCTGGGTGGCTAATTTGCTGGATCTTTCTGGAAGATCTTTTGACCCCTTTGCCTGATGTGCTCTGAATCAGGGAATATAAAGACAGAGAACTTTTCTCTCTAGCTGATAAATTATCCCTTCCAATAAGTAGAATAGGGTTCCATTACTTTGTGGATGAGGAACAGTACTATAAAACAGTGCTTTATGGAGATCTCTCCAGATGTGTCAACTGTTGTATGTTTGGCCTGAGTCAAACCCTACTCCACTTCAAAAGCTACTGTGAAAGTGTTTGGCTGCATGAATTCCGGAACAAAGCAAGATGTCTACTTGGCTGATTGGCACGTCAATAAACACAACGCATTTTCAGCTCAGCTACTTACAGTGGTGCATTTTGAGCTCTGGGAATAAACTGATATGGTTTGGAGGTATGCTTTTCTATATGATTTGTAAGCGAGAATTGTGTAAATTTCCCCCACTCTTAACCTTCCTATATGTAAGGTGCCAGAGTAGAATTACAAGTCAATTTAAAAAGAATTCCTAGTCCTACCCTTATGAAGATAAAAGAACAACACATGCATAGGTGCCGACTTCTTCTGGCTCCGGTGGGTGCTTGGCCTGCCTCTGCTCCCACCCCGCCCCGCCTCCAACCCCTTCCCCAAAGTCCCTACCCCAACTCTACCCCCTCCCGGACCCTATTCAATTCGTTCCCCAAATCCCCGCCCCAGCCCCACCTCTTTGCCGCTTCCTTCCCTGAGCACACCATGTTCCCGCTCCTCCCCCCTCCCTCCCAGAGCTTGCTACAGCTGTTTGGCGGTGGAAAGCAGGGGAGGGAAGGAGGGAGGGAGGATCGGAGACACTGTGCGCTGGGAGGAGTCGGTGGAGGAGGAGGTGAGGCGGCGGGATGGGGCAGGGAGCTTGACTGCTAGTGGGTGCAGAGCACCCACTAATTTTTCCCCGTGGGTGCTCGAGTCCCGGAGCACCCACAGAGTCGGCATGTACACATGTAGATCTGTTGCTTGAGATTATACATAATGCCACTTTCATTTAATCCGTGTTACACTGTTGCAAAAAAATCAACATCATTCTGGGATGTATTAGCAGGAGTGTTTTAAGCAAGACACGAGAAGTAATTCTGCCACTCTACTCCGTGCTGATTAGGCCTCAGCTGGAGTATTGTGTCCAGTTCTGGGCACCACATTTCAGGAAAGATGTGGACAAACTGGAGAAAGTCCAGAGAAGAGCAACAAAAATGATTAAAGGTCTAGAAAACATGACCTATGAGGGAACACTGAAAAAACTGGGTTTGTTTAGTTTGGAAAAGAGAAGACTGAGAGGGGACATAACAGTTTTCAAGTACATAAAAGGTTGTTACAAGGAGGAGGGAGAAAAATTGTTGTTCTCAACCTCTGAGAATAGGACAAGAAGCAATGAGCTTAAATTTCAGCAAGGGAGGTTTAGGTGTCAGACATTAGGAAAAACTTTTGTCAGAGTGGTTAAGCACTGGAATAAATTGCCTAAGGAGGTTGTGGAATCTCCATCATTCAAGATTTTTAAGAGCAGGTTAGACAAACACCTGTCAGGAATGGTCTAGATAATACTTCGTCCTGCTATGAGTGCAGGGGACTGGACTAGATGACCTCTCAAGGTCCCTTCCAGTCCTCGGATTTCATTATTTAACTCCACCCAAAGGAACATGAGCAGGGTTTGTCACTGAAATGTATGTTTGCTTACTGCAGCTGTTCTTTATTCCTGTTTTCGTAGCCCTGATGTAGGATACCACATTGTCACAGACAAAGGATTTAATTTTTCAACAGCAGATGATGCTTTTGTATGCCAGAAGAAGAACCATTTCCAGATCACAGTCCACATCAGTGTTGTTGGGAATCCAAAATATGTCAAAACCCAGCAGGGGTTGAAACCTATCGAAAAGTTTTACTTGAAAACTTTTGGAATTAAGGTAATTCTCCCTGTGCTTTTAATTTGTCTTCATTATAAGTATGTGATTATCAGTAGAGCAGGAGGAATAGTGCAAAAAGCATTTGCAGTAATTTATTTGAATAAAAAACGGAATTCATTTCATTACTGTTGACCCTTTTTGTTAGTTTTTTGGTGTCTGGTAGAATGGGCAACATTTTGTTCATCAGGATGTGTTCAGATAGTGAGATTGTGCACACTTGTGCAGATGTGTGCTGAAGGGTGCAATGTTTGTACAGCTATCATAACACTGATTTCCCTCCTGTTAGTTTGTCATCCAATCAGGGAATGTAGATGGTACCATGTGACTTAGGTGGTCAATCACATACCATGAATAAGGACTAATTAAAAAAAGTAGTTCACAAAAATGGTAAAAATCGAATTCTATTCCCAGACAATCCACAAACAGAAAAAGGGCTAAATTGGTCATTATGAACAATTCTGCCAGCTTGATTTATCAGGCTTACTGTATACATAAACAGTCAGAGGTGGGAAGATGGTACATGATTTGGGTGGGGAATGATAGTTTAGAGTGGAATTTCTGCACAACAAAAGTGGAGGTCATCTTTGGATGATGGCAGAGGCCTGAATCTATGAAATTTAACCAAGCTCTCTCCAGCCAGTCAAGTGGAATCCAAAATTTCATTTCTCATCCTCAATTCCTTTTGTGTATAGCAATGCTCTTGTATTCAAATTCCCTTCTGTCTGAAAGATTTGCCCTAGGTTTTATTTACCAGAAGAGGGTAGTGGTTTTAAATATTTGTATAGGTATTTTTAAAGGATACTGTAGTTAATAACTTTGCTTCGCTTCATGCTTCTTAGAACTCTAATACATAGTTAACTGGTGGAACTCACTGTCACATGGTATTATTGAAAAAAGAGCTTGACAGGATTGGGAAAAGGTTTAGACATGTCTAAAAGAATTTCTGGAATTTCCTGGTTTGTATAAATATTCATAAAAGATATCCACACTCATGCTTCAGGACATAAACCAACCGTTAACAACTTGGGATCAGGAAGAAACTTCCCCCTTGACATATTATTGCATAACTGTCCATGAAGGAGGCTTTGAAATCTCTGTTACTTACTGGCTACGGTGGGATCCATGAGTCTGGACTAGTGAAACACTGCTCTGAACAGGTGGCGATTCCTATGTCGCTATATATGTGGTTCCACAACAATTGAGAGAGTTTGGTTTTCTAATTAATTTGTATATTGACTCTTGGTCTATTCTCACTACAACCTTTTACATTTATTTGTGAGAAAATTAACCTGTTAAAAGTGTAACCTGTCACGTTTTCAAATTTGTACTTGAAAAGGTTATTTCCTTTTAATTATAGGCGGACGCCCCAAATCAGATAATCACCATTGAACAGTCTCAGTCGGACCGAAGCAAAAAATCTTTCAATCCTGTTAAGTAAGAATTTTTTTCTCCCTCCCAATTCTCCTCACCAGAAATTGTTGTTCCATGGCAAATAGATAGTAATTCTAGGCCTGGCCCTACAGTCTTTATTCAAGTAAAACTCTAATTGACTTTACTGAGTCACAAAGTGAGGAGTGCATGTCAGCCCTGGAGCTGGGGGAGAGGCTGCAGCTGTGAGCTCCACCAGGGGGAGCCCAAGACAAAATGTGAAATAATAGCAGCGGTGAAACTGACGAGTGTCGATTTCATTGCTGGTAGGCTTCTTCCTGTGAAATTGAGCCCTGGACCAAGCTCACAGCTCAACCCTGGTGACTGGGAGGGCTCCAGATATGAGCCCAGCATGGCTGTCAGTTCCCCACAATGCCCTGCTACAATTTGTGTAAGTGCTCCTGGTAAGGACACGCACCACCAGCAGAAGGAGGGCAGTGTGGACACCAACAGCTGATTTCATTACTGCTGTGGCTGACCTAACTTAAGTCAACCTAATATTGTAGTGTAGACAAGCCCTAAGACAAACTTACTGAAAGCCTTTTGTACTTCCTCATACTTCCTTTTCCTCTCGCTGCTGATAGTCAGGCTATTTGTGTCAATATCAGACATCTCCTTTCTAAACCTGCTTCCCCTGACTTATTGCCTGATATCCTCATCCAGTGTTGCAACATCATAGCCATTCTCCTGAACTATTAATGTCTCAGTTGGTTTATGTAAAAAGGCCCTTGTCTCTCTGAAAACACAAGAAATGCTTTTTTGGGGGGGGTGGGAGGGCACTTTATTTTTGGTAAAACATGTTTGCTAGAGGATTCTTTTAATTTTGATGACATATATGTCTTTATTGTAGCAGGTGCCCAATGGTTGTGTAGAAATGCACATTCCCCCTCACATCAGCAACCAATCCAACAAAAAGCAAAGAGACCTGAGATTTTTAATTTATATGCAGAGCTCCTGAACACTTGGGACTTATACCAGAACAACAGTGTTTAGAGGAGTCCCTGACAACATGGACCCCCAGAGCACTAGAGAGCCAGAAGCAGAAGAGGGGGCACTGGAGTTGATTTGGAGATGTGGGGCACAGATGGCCCGGAAATCTCCAGCGATCTACAAGATCTGTGTGTTCCAGGCACTCAGAACTGCCTGTTCCATCTGAAGTTTAGGGGGATGGTTAAGAAAAATGGCAAGGGGAAGTGTGCATGTCAAAGCCTACTCCTAATGCGGGAGAAGTTCTGCAAGGATTTCCTCTCCTCCGGCTCCCTCCTGTGTGCACCGTTATATTTTATAATGAAAGGCAGGAAGAGCTGGTCCCATAGTATTAATCCAATAATGTATAGGTCTAGTGGATACAGAGTCTGCTTTATTTTTCAGTTCAACTCCTATTCTCTGAGTTTACTTAAAATCTGTCTGTCAGATGGATCACAAAAAAAAAAAAAATGTATGTACATTTTTGGAAAAGTTTGAAAAACAAAACAAAAAAGACCTTTTAGCTGCAGAAGCAAAATATAATGTACAGCAGAACAGAACAAAAAAAAATTCTATAGGGGAGTAGTTTCTGTCTAAAAACCAGTGTGTTTATATCACATGTATCTTAGTAGTTTGACCTCTGTTAAACACTTCCCTTTTGTTACTAGTATAAATATTTCAGTTGCAGTCATGGACTGGAATTGACTGCGTCCTATGACCGAACATTTGCTTGTGGTCATAGAAATTTTGACAAAAACAACTCACACAGCAATGTGATTTATAGGTAAATTCATACCACTTTTCTACATGGATAAAAACATCTGACCAAAAACATTTTGGATGTAGAACATGCCAAGAGAAAAGCAGCAAAATTCTATAATAGAGCTCTGTGTGGTTCAAAAGCTTCTCTCTAACCAACAGAAGTTGGTCCAGTAAAAGATATTACCTCACCCATTTTTTCTCTCTAATATCCTCGGTCCGACATGGCTACAAAAACACTGCATGTCATATAGATACGACGTAGAGGAAAAATCGCCACATTAAGTTTCAGAAAAGGTTACATCTCCTATTCAAAAATCCACAGAGGTGAACGCTGAATTGGGAAATGGGGGACAGATTAGCCCGTAGACTTTTCCGCCATGGTTCTTTGTCTAGCTACCAAGGGATGGATTCTCAGCTGGTGTAACTTGATGTAGTGCCACTGACCCTGAAGGAGTAACACTGATTTACACCAGATGAAAAGCGAGTAACTGGATGATTCTTTGTCCATGAAAAAATTCATCATTACATGCAATAGTGGACACGAAAATGCAAATCAGATATAGGTAAAAACAAACAGGAGAGAAATTACGGTTTGGTTAATGTGTTACTGTAGGTTGAATGATCTATGGTAGTATCCTAAATTAGCAACAAATACCCATGTATGTCAATGGGCCTATTATGTGCAGCTATGCATGGCTCTTGGTGCAGAGATACTTAGTATATGAATATTACTAAGAATCCAAATATTCCCGCTCTTGATTGGGTACCGTATACGATTGACTACATTCACCCCCTTACTGAACTACCTGACGGATTGTTGTGATGGATTGATTAATGTGAGGCTGATGTGCTTTGGCACCAAAGTTGAAAGGTGCCATAAAAGAAGAAAATGTGACATTTTTATAAGTGGGGGAGCATTGCACATGTACTGAGGTGCCTCTGCTGTCAGCTCAGTATATAAAATCAGAAAAATGAAGCATATTAATCAGCTTGAGCAAACCTGCAGGACAATCGGAAGTGGTCTAGGTGGAGGGTGGTGGTTTGCCTCTTAACTTGTTTCCTTTTTCTGTTTTAGACTTGATCTACCAGCAGACCAGGCAACCAAAGTGACATTGGGAAGGTTACATTTCAGTGAAACAACAGCAAATAACATGAGAAAAAAGGGGAAACCTAATCCTGACCAAAGGTAGAGTGATGGTCCTCTGGGGGGGGGGAGTGTAAGGGAGGAGTGACCTGGCTTACAATGAGGCAGATATAGTCTGTGAAAGTTTGTGTTGCCAGCTCTCATGATTTTATCTTGAGTTTTATGGTCTTTGGTGTCTTTCTTGAAGACCCAGCTCCTGAAGTTTTAGAATTATGTGAGAGTCTGTTTTCATTTTACTACCAAAAAAAGAAAAGTTTCTAGTCCTCATGGTTGCAGCACAAAGCTGGAAAATATCATCCAGATTATACTTTAACGGCTCGGAAACCAGAATGCAAATAAAAAGAAACCTAGATATAGAGTTTAAAAGCTTATTTATTTGTAGCCAATCTCATGAGTTTTTGGGGGCCTGATACATGATTTCTTGAATGGTTGGAGTTAGCAATACTGAAATCTTTCTATTGACTTCAATGAGCATTGGCTCCAAAGAGTATTTAACAGAGAATGAACAAAACAGAGAGTAAGAAGTGTTAATTTTCCTCCAATTCTGCAAAATAAGTTGTATTTTAAACATACTACTATTGTTGGTAGAATAATTTGGCCAGAAAAATAGTGAGACAGTCAGAGTCTGGACCCCAAGAGGAGGGGAAACGGGGACTGGCAGGGTTGTAGGAGTAACCAGGCTGATGGAAGCCAGGGTGAGACCTTTATGTTGGTAGACTGGCTACTGTTATCAGGGCTCTGAGCTATGGCAGCACAGTATTAAGACACCCAAAATTATAAGGCAGGCAGTGACAGAAGCCCTTAATGGTCAGGGTGGTCCCCTACAGTCACAGATACGTTATGCCTGTGAGATTATTTCAGCTTTCTTGTGAAGTCATTGAAATTAATTTCATATTAGATACTTCATGCTGGTGGTTGGACTATATGCTGTCAGTCAGGACCAGTCCTATTTATTGTCTGCACATGTCTCTGAAAGGATCATTGTGAGGGTAGGTACAAGTTTATTTGAACCATGTTCTGATTTTCTTTTCACAAGGGAGAATCTTTTGTTTATTGTTGGGCAGCGTGCATTTTATAATTGTTTGTAGTACACATGGTGATTTAGGGATCTTCATGTTTTTGAGGGCTTGTTGTGAGGCTATAAATAGTTCTGTATATCTGTGTGTGTGCATGTGTGAAAGATGGACATGTTTTAAGAGGAGTACATATTGAGAAGGGAGTGAGAAGACATTCAAAAATATGGGGAATTTTAGAAAGCTCTTGGATTGTTTTTAAAGTATGCACAGTTTATAATCTACAATAGGCACCTTTTGAACAATTAATTTTTGAAAAAGCGTATGTGTTTGTATCATATTTAGGAAAAGGAATTTAGAGTAAGGGACGACTTTTGCTCTGTCCTTTGAAGACCACATTTAGGGCAGATCCAATTGGACCCAATTCTGCTCATTTTTACATATGCCAGGAATCCTCCTAAATAGGACTACCCATGCGAGAAATGTCTACAGGATGGGCCCATGAGGGGTAGTCTTCCCATGATTTTTAGACTGCAGTTCTATTTTATGAAGAGTAACTCAAAATGGCATTCTGAAGTTCCATATTTACTATCTCTTGATTATTTTTGTATCAATTGTGCTCAGTTTACAAATAATAATTTCTAACTTCTGGGCCTGCGAACTGTCTGAGATTGGGAGTCAAAAACTTCCCATTCCATGTCTCCTCACCCATGTCAAATATTCTGCAGGCTAATTTATGTCCTTCATGACACCTGTGCAGTCCCATTGCTTTCAACGGGCTTAGTACTGGAACTTAGTAAACAACTGTGTTGATGAGGTACAAGGTAGGATAGAACCCACAGCTCATGCTGTTGTAATTGTGTTGACTCTGCAGGGTTAAAAGGAGCTGAAAACAGTGAACCTTTATTTTTCTCATTGTAGTAAAATACATTTGACTCTGAATACACAAAAGGAATAGATATGCTAAATAAAAAAGCTATTTTTTATAATCACCATTGGACTGCACTTGAAAAGGAAAAGTTCATGTTCTTTTTTTGTAGAAATATTGAGAATTAAATAAGATGAAAGAGAACTAGCATGCAGAGCTGAAAAAAGAATAGATTTTGCAGTTCACTGTCAATGCCAACAAAACAAAAACACCACAAATTGTTTTCTGTTGAACCGCAAATGATTTTTTTAAAAGTTTTTGGTGAATTAAAAAAATTCTGGGTGAATGAAACATTTTGTTTTGATTTGAGCATTTGTAAACAGTTTTATTTTAAAAATTTTAAAATAAAATTAAAGGTAATTTCAAACCAAAGTGATTTCAGACAGAAAAACTGAATCATTTAGTTTCAAAAAATGTCAAAGTGAAACATTTGATTTTTTTCCTCAATTTTTTTTCAAAATGGACAACTTAGCAAAACCGATGTGAATTTGCTAAATGTTTTTCACTGAAAAAAGTTTTCATTGAAAAATTTCACCCAGCTCTAATTACATATGCCACTGACCTATTATCAGAAACATTTAATGTTTTTCTTTTTAATAACATACCTACTTCTTATATAGTACTTTTCATCAGTAGATCTCAAAGAGCTGTAGAAATGAGATCATATACACAGCTACTATAGTCATGTAGTATTTTTTGTGTGTGATACATGTACTTCATAACAATTTAATAGTTTGTAATAACTAGGCCTAGGTCCTCCCCTTCCCCCTTTAGTTTAGTGGGGGGGGGGGGACTGGGCAGGGCAGTAATTGCTGCAGTCTGTTCATTTTTGTTATAAACATTTTTTTTAAATTGCCCAGGTGCTGAGAGCTTGGGCTGGGTGTTCTTTTGTGGGTGGATTTAGTATACATTTCTATAAATCAACGAATGAGGTCTGTGCTACTTTATCTCTCCTGTAGCCTCTGTTTTCAGTGCTCTGCTCCCATGAATAACTCCAGTGCCTGCCTCTGCTACTGCCCATAGTTTTTCCAAGCAGTAGCAGCATGAAACTGATCTGAGTCTTAGCAGTTTTTCTGTTGCTCAGATTATTTTGAATAGCTGCAGTACAACTGACCCCAGTACTATAATTCTGCTTTGCTGCTGCCTGGTAAAGCAGAGCTGTTGTAGGTGTCTGTTTGCAGATTCAGGAAGACAACTGCATTTTTGCATCCAATTCACATTTGGATCATTATCTTATGAACCATAAGGGCGAGTATCTTAATTTTTGCTTTAAATAAAAGCTTATGTTCTGCAGAAGTTCATGGTTTAGGCTCCCACACCCCCCAGATTTTTTTAGCACTTGTGCCTATGGTGCCAGTCAAATAAATAAATGATTGAATGGACAAAAATAGAGGACTGAGAATGTAAATAATGGCCATATCAGTAAAAGGACTATAGCAGCGTTCTGGTCTGATATGTTTGCAATGGAAGGCGGGGTCATGTATATAAAGACATCACTTACTGCAGTGTGGCAAAACTTACTGAATGCATCGCGATGGGAAAAACATACACTCTAGTCCGCCATACTGCAGAGTTAAAGATTAAAGAACTACAAACTGAGTAGTGGTTAACAGGCACATCAGCTCATGCTCTAATTGGTCAGTTAGAAGTGCACAATTCTCTGTATCACAGATGGTATAGCCTTGCAAAAACACAAGGCCTTTATAAAGGAGTGCTGAGTTTTTGGCACTTTGGTATTTTGTTTAGATCCACATTTTAATGTCTGAATTCAGTGTTAATTTTTTATTTTTAATAAGGAAATAAACAAAAAAGCATTAGGATTTTTGTTCATTGAGCTTTTTTCTCTGAGAGCAAGATTAATTTTATTTGATTAATGTAAAGTAATAGAGTTCGGACAAGGGGTAGTATTTTGTAGAATGTGTGGACGTGCTTATTTAGGGGTCCCTCATTGAAAATGACAGCTAACTTAACTTGTGAGTGCAAAAGTTATATATATTACAGATGGTGACTTCTCCAGGAACTGCTGTTTTTAAACCTTGCATGTCTCCAGGCCTATGCAAATATGTTTGAATATGATGGAAATTTCCATGTCTCAGTTGATAAGTAGAATTCATCTGGTAGCTTTGATTTGTTGCAACTGCCATTCCAAAGTCAATTTATCTATGTCCACTTTAATCAGCAATGTTATTATCCAGGCAAAAAAAAAAAAAAGTTAAGCCGTTAGAAAATCTCATTGTTCTATTCTTTTCCTGAGGCATCTTAATAAGGTTTAGGTTGTTCAAAGCACTTAGGGGTCATGGATTCAATACATTGCTTAATTGTTGTTTTTTGTTTCTGGAAACATCCTCGAGCTGCTAAGTGCTTTTCAGACATAAAAGAAGGCTGAGTCTCGGTCACAAAGAGCTTAGATTCTAAAAGACACAAACAGGCAAAGGGAAGAGGAAATTGGTACAATGTTGTTATTAAAGTAGCACTTTGGAGCCCTTGTCCTGGACCTGGACCCCATTGTGCTGGATGCTGGACAAATACAGAACGAAAAGATAGTCCTTGTTCCAACCAGTTTACAATAAAGAAGTGGTAATCAGCCACTTCAAGTAATATAGTTGTGGGATAGTTTCATAAACATAAGTTATTCCTAGGTACCCACAATGTGGACACCAATGTACCTTCAGTCTGATTTACAGTCCAGAGTGTGTGCATGTTGGGAATGCAGTATGCATGAATTCAAGCCCAAACCCACCTCTTATCTGTTCAGAATGGACCTCGGACAAAATAAAAGGAGAGTGTCTGAAAACGGGTAAAAAAAAAGAGAGAGAGATCTGTATGTTCAATGGGTTTCTTTAGGGAATGGGGAATCTTTCGAGTGAGATGTGTTAAAATCTGCCTTTCTCTCTCTTGTCCAGTGTCCAGTCCTTAGTGAGCTAGTAGGCTAGAAGACAGTTTGTTGGCAAATCAGAAATGATTCTGAGGTCTGATCACAAACCTAGTTACTTGAAAAGCTTTGAAGTTGATCATCTTCCTTAACATTATAGTAAAATATAATACAAGAAAAGGCTTTGCGGGCACTGCAAATGTTCTAGATGGGAAACGTTTCTTTAGAGGTTATCCATTTTGATGTGTCAAAGTTCAAAAATGTAGTTTAAATGTGAAAGATTTGTATGGCATTTCATATTCCTTTGGTAAATTTGATAAAGCAATAGTAAATCCGTGCTAAAGTGTCTTTGACTGTAACAAATGTTTTCAGGCATCTAACCCTGGGCAGTTTGAGAATGACAGTGATGTGTTGTGGCAGCGAGGACATGTTCCAGAGACCATAGTCTGTCATGGTCGAGTAGGAATTAACACAGATGCACCAGATGAAGCACTGGTCGTCTGTGGAAATGTGAAAGTGATGGGGACAGTCATGCATCCATCTGACAGTCGAGCAAAACAGAATATCCAGGAGGTGAGTGAAGTGGAGCTTTTAGGGCATTTACATTTACACCACAGTGCATGTATGAATTATCCTTCTGACACACATGAAGTAGATTCTGTTATCCTAGACACGTTGGAATGTTGGCCTTAGGAAAGTGAATGCACTGCTTGCGTTGTGGAGCCATCCTGTTTGAACTGAGAGGTGGGGGGGGGGGACTTTGAACTTGGATGAGGCTGTGTCTGTAAATGAAGTGGTTTGACTGAAATGTAACTGGGAATACAAGTAAAAATAACAGCTGGTTAATGTTGAATAGGGAGATGTTTGATGGCAGCTGTGTCATGCTTCTCAATATGCTTGTGCAACCCTTGATGTGACTCTGATCCTTAATATTGGAACATGTGAAACGTGGTCTTTGTGCAATTAGGTTGATACAACTGAGCAGCTGAGAAGAATAGCGCAAATGAGGCTCGTTGAGTATGACTACAGGCCTGAGTTTGCATCTGTAATGGGAATAAACAATACCCATGAAACAGGTATTCAATCAACTCTTCTTCTCTTCCAGTGTCTGTCCTTTTATATTTGTATCATAATGATTAATTCCCTGGCATTCCAATCTTATTTTTAGGATCCTAAGGCCTTTTGCAGTGTTTTTCTTTTAAAACTGATGTGTATGAGAGTATGTGGGTGTCTGATTGTGTGTGTATATGTCTCCATTTTAGTAGATGCAATCAGCTGACATTTTCCACGGTTGGTGTCGGCCCGGAGGTGATACACCTTTTCTAAGGCTTTAGCCAAATTGCTTCAACCATTTTTGTGTGTATTTGAGCATTTAAAACATAAATCCATATTATTATTTACCTGTATTACCATGGTACCTACGAGCCCTCATCATGGACCAGGATCTCATTGTGCTACATACTGCCTTACATATATGGGCTGAAAATTTGTGCTTAAAACAAAACAAAAATGTCTATTGAATCTATTGAGACTTGGCTTCTTTTGTAAATCTTGTGGCGATCTAAGGTCCAAAACAGGTTGAATACCGTCATGTCTCTTTTCCTTTGTCTATAAGTGATAAATAACAGTCAGCATGGACTTGTCAAGAACAAATCATATCAAATCAACCTAATAGCTTTCTTTGGCAAGGTAACAAGTCTTGTGGGGTGGGGAGCAGGGGCAGGGGGAAGTGGTAGATGTGGCATATCTTGACTTTAGTAAGTCTTTTGATATTGACTTGTATGACCTTCTTATAAACAAACTAGCGAAATACATCCTAGATAGAGCTACTGTAAGGTAGGTGCATAACTGATTGGAAAACCATTACATAAGAACATAAGAATGGCCATACTGGGTCAGATCAAAGGTCCATCTAGCCCAGTATCCTGTCTTCCTACAGTGGCCAATGCCAGGTGCCCCAGAGAGAATGAAAAGAAGAGGAAATAATCAAGTGATCCATCCTGTTTCCCATTTTCAGCTTCTGGCAGTTTGCAGATGATACCAAGTTGGGAGGGGTTGCAAGTGGTTTGGAGGATATGATTAAAATTCAAAATGATCTGGACAAACTGGAGAAGTAGTTTGTAGTAAATAGGGTGAAATTCTATAAGGACAAATGCAAAGTACTCCACTTAGGAGGAGCAATCAGTTGCACACATACAAAATGGGAAAGGCCTAGGAAGGAGTACTGCAGAAAGGAATCTGGGGGTCATAGTGGATCACAAGCTTAAATATGAATCAATGGTGTAACACTGTTGCAAAAAGAGCAAACATCATTCTGGGATGTATCAGCAGGAGTGTTGTAAGCAAGACATGAGAAGTAATTCTTCAGTGCAGAGTAGAGCGGATTAGGCCTCAGCAGGAGTATTTTGTCCAGTTCTGAGCACCACATTTCAGGAAAGATGTGGACAAATTGGAGGGAGTCCAGAGAAGAGCGACAAAAATGATTAAAGGTCTAGAAAACATGACCTATGAGGGAAGAAAAAATTGGGTTTATTTAGTCTGGAGAAGAGAAGACTAAGGGTGGGGGGGGACATAACAGTTTTCAAGTACATAAAAGTTTGTTAGAAGGAGGAGGGAGAAAAAATTTTCTCCTTAACCTCTGAGGATGGGACAAGAAGCAATGGGCTTAAGTCGCAGCAATGGCGGTTTAGGTTGGACATTAGGAAAAACTTCCTGTGAAGGTGGTTAAACATTGGAATAAATTGCCTAGGGAGGTTGTGGAATCTCCATCATTGGAGATTTTTAAGAGTAGGTTAGACAAATGCCTGTCAGGGATGGTCTAGATAATACTCAGTCCTGCCATGAGTGCAGGGGACTGGACCAGGTGAGCTCTCCCTTCCAGTCCTATGATTCTATGATCTGACTTCTACTTGGTTATTTTTGATTTAGTATTTGTAATTGTTTTTTTCTTTTCTTTCCCCTTCCTCTTCCTTTCCATGTTGTTTTCTCCCTTCTTCCTCAATGTTCACTTCGAATCCGTAGCTTCTATTTTTACCCCTGTAACCTCTCTGTTTGCTGTTCCTTCCTTCCTATCCACTCCGTCCATCTGCACTATATGAAACCAAATGGGAAGAGAAATGTTTCACGTCACTGTCTTTTCCCTGCCCTTTACATGCTCTTCAACTTAGGTGTAGCAAATAACAAATTGCAAAGGGCAGAAAACTTGTAATTATTATTTGTATTGCAGGAGCACATTCAGACCTCAGACAGAATCAGGACCCATTGTGCTAGGGAGTGTCTAAAACATATAGTAAATTACAGCCCCTGCTCCAAATGGCTTGCAAATCTAAATGACAAGAAAGAAACAAGCTGAAGGAGAAGGAGCTTCCTCAGAGCCAGTAGGATGTTATCTATTACTCCTCCTCATAATACAAGAACAAGTCAATGAATTGGAAGGGCAGCAAATCTGCATGATCATCTGGTGGTTATGAGTTCCATAGGCTATTGCAGAGGCCAAGAGTTTGGCAATTTTATAAAGGATTAGACAACTAGAACATTATATTGGATGAGATTAAAAAATAAGGATAAAAGCCCTCTTGTTTCAGAGAATAAGCCAGCCTCTAACTGAAGGGGAAGTTGGGAAGAAACTTAAGCATCTGATTATGGCCAATATCAGAAATACAGGAAATTGGGCTAGGGACCCACCTGTTCTGTCCCTATAGAGCAAATTCCATATTTCTAATTGAGCCATCCAGTAAATAATATATATATGTAGAAGCAGATAGTAGTTCTAGATAAGGGAGTGTGTGGTTTAGAATGGTGAAGACTGAAATGATAAAAACCTGTAATTAGAGCTGCTTGAAAATTTTCTGAGGGAATGTTTCTCCATCAGAAAATGCTTTTTTGTCAAAATTGAAACATTTTGGAGAAACATGCCTGGATATGGGAAAAACAAGCAAACCAGAATGAAGCATTCTGATAAAGATGATTTTTCTTTCCATTTTTTAATTTTATATTTAGGTAATATAAAATACAAAGTCAAAACTGGAATGGAACATTTAGATTTTATCAAATAAATGTTTTGATTTACCTGCAATAATAATAATAATTAATATATTTTGAATTTTGGTTCTCAGGAAATTTGTTTTGTTCCATTTTGGAATGGAAAAAAATCAAAATTGCAGAATTTCCTACAAAGAGGAAAATCTGGTTTCTGCAGAGCTCGACTTGTAACTTTTAGGATGGCCACATTAGGGAGAATACAAATTACAATCTGAGAGTAAATTGTTTTTTTGGGTTTTTTTTACACTAGTTTTTCATTATTTTGCAAACAGGAATAATAGCCCAGGAGGTGAAAGAGCTTTTGCCGACAGCTGTAAAAGAAGTTGGAGTTATTACCTGTGAAAATGGAGAAAAAGTAGAGAACTTCCTCATGATTGATAAGGTATATTATTGGTTTACTGCCATTCATTTATACAGTGCTATGGTACTGGACATGAAACAAAGACTTTAAGACAATGCATTTTTTAAAAAATTCAGAAGCAAATGCAAGTGCTTTTTTGTCCAGAATCAGCCACATAGGTTTTGGCATTCAGAACTAATTTGCTTTTTTTTCCTTTGGGGAAAGGAAGCTTTGCTCTTGAACCATATTTTTTTATTAGTCCAGTGGTAGGACTTGGTGAAGATCCTGGCTGTCTAGTAAATCAGTTTCAGTTTAATTTTTTGCTGACCAACAAAAATTAATTTCCTTTTTCTTAATAATTTGGTAATGTGCTGCAGAAACATTTTTGAGGGTCTTGAGGCAAAATGCATTAAAGCGGAAATGACAGTTAAAGAGAGTTGCAAGTAAATAGTTCTTCTGGATTCTTTAAATACCTGTCTCTGTTAGTCACTTTTGGTCTTCAGTGTCTGATTCATATTTGCTGCCTTTAGTTCTCATTAAGGAGTCATGTGAAGAGGTCTATGTGGACAGTAAGGGCCTGATCCCGCATGATGATGTGTGTTTGTAGACCGCTGCCCCCATATGGAGCCTCACTGAAGTCAGTGGGGTTCAACATAGGCACAGGAGTCTGCACACATGGAGCCTAATATGCTCCTGCCAGTCAGGGGTATCTTAGTCAGCCAAGAGAGTGAAATTTCATCACGCTAACTTGATCACTAATTATTAAGGCTCACAAACAGGTAAGAAACTTCTGCTGGACCACATATTTTGTGTTTGTCAAGATGCAAATGTCAGTCTTTCAAATTTGAATTGATCTCCCCTCTGTAGGTATTTGACTAAGAGTTTTTTTTTAATTATTTGAAATCTTAATATAGTAGTATTTTAATTGAGAGATACTTAAAATGAAGTGTGGTCACACAAAATTTGGATAGAGATGTCTTAGTGGTAGAGCTAGAGCAGCCAATCTTATTACAACAAAAGTCTTTTGTGTCGGAAAGTCTGAATTAATTTAATGGTTCTTAAGAAGAATTAAGCTCTTGTGGTATTTTACTTCACAAACTGGTAACTTTCTTATTCTAATCCTCTTGCTTTACACAAATGTAAAAGCTAATTCTGTATGTGGTGTGTGAAATTTCTCTATCTTAGACCATTATCATAACTTCAAAATCCTACAGGAAGAAATGTGTATGGTACACAGAGAAATTAACATGCTTTAATGATGAAGATAATGCTGTTAGGTTTGTACTTTGCAGTGTCCTGCTATATTCTGATTTGTTGTGTTTCACAAATGTGTAGTCATAAGCTGAATGTTGAATAGTTAGAACAGTCGACCTTAGAAATCAAAGTGTCGTCTCTTCTAGTCTCTACAGTGACAATATCAAAAAGCAGATCTTACTGTGGAGGGTACTTATGTTATCATAGATAAAGATTATAGATTTGTGTGCATAAACCTGGGATTTGAGCAAAACTTGATTTAACAGGAAAAATTCTGCCAAAGTGAAATGAAAATTAGTAGGGAGAAGAGAACATTTATAAATATTGGAGGTAGTTACATTTGGTCTGAACGACAGCATGGCTATTATCCCATATTCATTGTTAACTATGTCATTTCAACTGATTTTTTATTCTGTATTTTATTGAAACTGTTGTATCAACCAGGCAAGGTACTAACAAGCTTCAACAGGACTTTATTTTCAAAGTGGAAACCTCTTTACCAAGCTATTGCCGCACCCTGTGTAGCTCTCTCCCAACCTCTCAACTCCTCCCCCCTCCTTCCTGTTTTCTGTCCTTTCAGACTCCCAACAGCCAGTGCTCTCAATTCTAATAATTACAAGCAACATCTAAACACCACATTCCCTCCTCTCTTAAGAAACTCTCCCAATTAAAATAAACATTATTGTTCTAACCACAAGAACAAATATGAAACAAGACACTATACTGTTGGCAGAAATATTACACTGAAAACACTGTAGATACTACATAACATAGTCTCTAGTCCAGACAGGTTGTTGTCTGGTTCAGACAGGCCATCTCTCAAGCCCTGGTTCCAGTTCAATGTCTTGTTGTGTTGGTACTACGGTGAAGTCATCCAATGCAGACTGGGTGTTGGCATAATCTCCTCTTGGTGCATAGGCAGGTGCAAGATAAGAAGCGTTCCATACCCACCCATCAGAAAGTCGATAGGTGTAAGGTCCCTTCTTCTCTATGATTTTAAAAGGAGCTGTGAATTTATGGTCCTTTGCATAAAATTCCAGGTTTTCATACTCTAATGAAGGAACCACACTCAAACTTTGGTTCCTTAGCACCCTGCCACTTGTCTGTGAAAGCCTTAGAGTTTGCTTGGTTCTGTTCAACTGTTTTTTCTCACATCATCGTCGTTTGGGGCCTCAGGTCGTGCCTTTAACAATCCAGCAATGTTCAGTTTAGTATTCATCTGTTTCCCATGCAGTAACTCTGCGGGTGGTCTTTGCATTGTGACATGTTGTGTAGCCTGGTATGCTTGCAAGAAATCAGTGGTGAAGGGTATCCACAATCGCCCTTCCAGTTTAGCCATTTGCAAACTCCCTTTCAAACTTCTGTTAAACCGTTCGATTTCCCCATTGGCTTGAGGGTGATATAGGGTCGACCTTCTGTGTAAAATGTTCCTCTTTGCTAGAAAAGTTTCAAACTCCAGGGAAGTAAATTGACTACCATTATCTGAAACCAGTTCTTTGGGGTTACCTTCACTGCTAAAAACTGAAGAGAGGAACTTAATTACTGTAGCAGAAGAGATTTGCGATGTAAATGCTACCTCAGGCCATTTACTGAAATAGACTATTAAAGTGATGGCATAATGGCAGTCAATTGGAGCAGTATCAAAGGGTCCTACAATGTCAATCGCCACTTTTTCCTATGCAGATTCAAGAAGAGAAACAGGCTGTAATGGAGGGGTACATGTCACTGCTGTCTTATCATGCATTTGGCAAGTGACACAGGATTTTATGAGTGCTTCAGTTTGAGAGTCCATCCCTGGCCACCAATACAGATCCCGTAGTCGTTGTTTGGTTCGGACAGTTCCTTGATGAGTATCGTGTGCCAGGTGTATGAGTTTTGACTGTAATTCTTCTGGCACAAGGAACTGGTGTGTACCTCGTAGCACACAGCCATCAAACAAAGAAAGTTCATCCCGAACTCTAATCAAATATCAAATAAGGCAGCAAAACTGAGTCAAGGTTTTTAGGGTTACTGAGCTCTTTGTCAGAAATTCCTGTAGTTTTCGTTGAATTGGACACGCTGAACAAGCAGCTTGAAATTGTTCTCTTGTAACTGCAGTGAGAGCGCTTGTAATAAGCGCAACTACTACATCCTATCCTCCAGTGGACCATCTGGTGAAGGCAAAGGCAGGTGAGAAAGGCAATCAGCTACCACATTTTGGTTTCCAGGCTTATATTCCAGTTCATAATTGAAAGAGAGTAGTCTTGCAGACCATCGAGCAATACGGTATCCTGCTCTTCCCAGTCCTTTTGTGGTGAGCAGCATCGTCAAAGGGCTGTGGTCTGTGCGCAACTTGAATGTGCGGCCCCACAGGTAGAGTTCTCCATTTTTCAGTAGTCCAGACACAAGCAAGTGCTTCTTTTTCGACCGTAGAATATTTTCTCTCAGCATTACTTAGTGTCCTTGAAGCAAATGCAACAGTCCTCTCTGTGTTGTCCTCATGAAGTTGTGTGAGGACAGCCCCAAGTCCATAATCAGAAGCATTAGTAGTTACAATTGTGGGCAATGCAGGACTGAATAGTGCAAGTACTGGACTATGTACAATCAAGTCTTTCACCGTTTTGAAACTAGCTTGTGCATCGGTTGTCCACACTAAGGTTGAACTTCTCTGTAGTAATTCCCATAATGGTTCAATGACAGATGCATAATTGGGAATGAATTTTGCATACCAGGAGGTAAGACCCAAGAAGGAACATAAAGTTTGCAAATCTGTTGGAGGAGGAGCATTTGAAATTGCCAGGATATGATCTGGATCAGGTTTTAGTCCAGCCCGTGAAATTGTATGCCCCAGAAAGGAGAGTTCAGTTTGTCTAAATTTGCATTTGGACCTATTGAGCTGGAGGCCTGCTGTGCTGATGCAGTTTACTACAGACTGAAGGTTATTGTCATGCTTCTCAGAAGTATTTCCAAACACAATAATATCATCCAGATAGCACTGAACTCCATGTTGATTCTTCAGAATCAATGAAATCATTTTTTGAAAGGCACTAGGGACAGATGTGAGACCATATGGAACACGTTTAAAACGAAATAGTCCCTCATATGTAATAAATGCTGTGCTCTGCTATCTTCATGCAACATAACCTGGTGGGTATGCGCTCTGCAAATCAAGAGTAGAGAACATCCTTGTTCCACGGAGTTCTGCAAATACTTCTTCTATGTGAGGAAGAGGATGGCTGTCAATCACAATAGCTTTATTTGGCTCCCTTTAGTCCACACAAAGGCAAATGCCTCCACCCTTCTTCTGCGTCACTACTATAGGAGAAACCCATTCCAAGAAGTCAATCTCTTCAATAATGTCCTTTTGAATAAGTTTTCTAAGTTCCTCTGAAACAGCTTCCCTGACTGAAAATAAGTGCCGTAACTTCTGTCGTACAGGCATCACATTATTCCACATTTTAACTTTATGCAGAAACTCATAAGCACAGCCGAGTTTCTCCTCAGCCTGGTGTTGGGTCCCAGCTGAAACTGGTGTGTGTACCGCAAGAGTGCTTTGCTGAGGAAGATCAATTCGTCCATTAACTACCCTGAGATTTAAAGCACCCAATAAATCTCTGTCAAGGATAGGAGTGCCTTTGTGGACAATGTTACACAGCAATCACCAAAAGTAACTATTGCTGGCAGGCAGCCATGTACTGGAATATGGTTTTTCAAATAGCACACCAAGAGAAGTTTGGGTTCAGTAAAAGGCACATCTTCAATGTAAGGCAGATAGATGGAATCAGGTAGTATAGATACTGCTGAGCCAGTGTTCAACATTAGCTGAATAGAGTGTGGTTTGCCTGAGGGTATGATGGAAACGTTTACAGTGCACTTTATCTGTTCTGGAATATGTGCAGTAGTGATTTTGTCCATGCTCAGCACAGTAACATCTGGTATTGTAACTGCATGCACCTGTTGATTGAACTGGTTACTGCGACATATTTTAGCAAAAGGTCCAATCTTTTTGCAATGATTGCACTGAGCTACTTTTGCCGGACATCCTGTGTAGCTTGCAAGGTGTTGTGGGGATCCATAGCGAAAGCATGTTTTTACTGTATTTTGAATTTGCTGATTCGGTGGTTTTTCATTAGTTTTCCTCTTGCAGTTGTGTGTCTGCAGCGATAGTGAACTTTTCTGCAAAGGAGTCACAGCCTGGACTGCCTCCTGTATCCATTATTTTGGCTTCAGCTGTAGCTGACTAATCTGAGTAACAATGGTTATTGCTTTTCCTATTGTAAGTTGTGGTTCTAGAAATAAGCGCTCTCTTACATGAAGCATGATTGTTTTCTCAATGAGCTGGTCTCTAATCATCTCATCTGCCATATTCCCAAAGTCACAAATTACAATCTGACTCCTCAGGGAAGCAATATACTGCATTATAGCTTCCCCTGGTTTCTGCTCACGCTGGCAAAATCTGTAGCAATTAGCTACTACATTCACTTCTGGCACAAAAAAATTCTTTAATGCAGTGAATGGTCACATATTTATCATCTGCAAAGGGAAAAGTGTAAAATATACCTTGCCCTTCTGCTCCAAGGCAGTGGATTAGCAGAGCATGCTTGCTTTCTTCAGAAATCTCTGTAGCACTGATTGCAAGCAGATAAGTCTCAAACATATGGATCCACGTAGTAAAAGCAATTGGAGGCTCACCTTGGCTTTGCAGAAAGGGTGCAGGTGGGTTCAGAGGCAGAAGATCCATCCTCGTCACCAAAACGTTGTATCAACCAGGCAAGGTACTAACAAGCTTCAACAGGACTTTATTTTCAAAGTGGAAACCTCTTTACCAAGCTGCTGCTGCATCCTCTGTAGCTCTCTCCCAGCCTCTCAACTCCTCCCCCCTCCTTCCTGTTTCCTGTCCTTTCAGACTCCCAACAGCCAGTGCTCACAATTCGAATAATTACAAGCAACATCTAAACACCACAAAAATCTCAGATTGTGCGTATGGAATCCTACCTACCATTAATCAAACCCACCCAGCTCATATGAAAGAGCCATCAGGAGTATGAAATATTCAGTATTACACTTCACCTATATGTATCATATTAAGAAATAAGTTTACAAAGACAAACTTGAAAACAAGCTCTTTCTTGCCTATGCTGTAGTCCATATAAATGAAGCATTTGTCAAACTAGTAGAATAAAAGTTTTGTGATAGTGGTCCCTGTATACTCTTTACCTATATTCATGAATAGTGCTGGGCAAAATTGTTTGTCTGAAACAGATTTTCAGTGAAAAATGTGGATTCAGTGACACTGAAATATTTAGCAAATTTGTGTCAGTTTTACAAAATTCTTTGTATCTTTTCATGAGCCACTTCAGTTTTCAAAAGAACCATGGAAAGAGGAGACAAGAGGCAGAAAGCTCTGATTCCTCTCAATTGTGGCTTAGAGTTCTTATGTTCCTTCCTCACAGTGGTGATGGAAGCTGTAAGAAGTTTCATTCCTGTCCTTCACTGTTTGTGAAGTTCAGGCCAGGGCAGCTGTCCTGTGTGAAGGGCAGGCTGGCAAATTCAGACCACTCAATAATCTCCCCTCTGTAACAGGCTAGGACATGTTCCACTGTTCCATTCCATTTGTCACTTGAAGAGTATTCAATTTATTTTGCAGAATAAGATTGGATCTGAACTAGTTTGCCTGCTTCTGTGGAAGCAATAAGGAGAAGATGAACATACCGTCTTCACTGGTGGAGTTTCAACTAGTTTGGTGTTCTGGTGAAGCTGTGGGCTATGCCCTCATACCTGATGAAAACAGGAGGGGAAGTTCTAGGTTTACTATTGAAAGGAATTGTTAATGCATTTACTCTATTAGTTCAAGATGCCAAAGACTTGTGAGCGATTGGTTGGCTCTTCATCAAAAGCCATTGTTTAATGTTAGTGACAACACCAGTGTAACTACTGCCCTATACCAAATGTTCCTATTTTAGCAATGTTCATGGCAAGGCAGCTGCATCTTCATCTGGATTTTCTAACTTCGTGGATTCCTAAACATCTGCTTTACAGCTGTGTCACAGACCTGGCTGGATGCTCCTTTTTCCTCTCCCTAATATTTCCTCTCTGGCCTTCATCTTTTCCACCATCCTACTTATGTCCCTCACTACACACTTAACCTCCCTTGAGTCTCCCCTTGAGTTCTTCTTCTATCTGAGGGGCACCCCTAAAACTCTTCCTTTCCCCTCTTTTTCTCAGGGTTTCTCTTCCTATAGAACTAGATAATTTCACAGAGGATAGGTCCATCAATGGCTATTAGCCAGGATGGACAGGGATGGTGTCCCTAGCCTCTGTTTGCCAGAAGCTGGGAATGGGCAATGGGATGGATCACTTGATCACCTGTTCTGTTCCTTCCCTCTGGGGTACCTGGCATTGGCCACTGTTGGAAAACGGGATACTGGGCTAGATGGACCTTTGGTCTGACCCGGAATGGCCGTTCTTATGTTTCTATACTGTCCTCTTCCAGCCCCTCAGTTCCATGTTCACTATTCTCTTCCATTCCAAATCATCTCCTTACCAGGTCCCCTTTCTGCTCCTCCACAACCCCCAGTCTGTTCTCTGCTCCCTACCCATAGTATTTCCCCCTCCTGTATTTCCAGCCCCGCAAACTTTCTGCTGTCTCCTTTTCTGTCTCCCCTTCTGCCTAGGTCAAGACCGGAGCTGACAGAATGCTTCAGAAGTGGTTGCAACATCTGTTCAAATAAAAATAACTTTTACTCCAATGGTCTCCATGACTGCTTTTATTCTCTTTCTGCAAACCTTAACAGGAACCTATGTGAAAATGTATTTGTACAGCTTTCAGTGACTTTAATAGGAGATGGGAGGGGGGAGTCTAAGAATTTAGTGTAACATTTTGAAGGTGTATTTAACCGAGAGCTTTGGGGGTTTTTGTGGGACCGTGAGACTCAGTACCTCATCTTCAGTGAGGCACTAAAACTCGAATCTGCCTTTTCTTCCAAAGAAAACATTCCTTTATTTTGCCAGGTGAGTCATTTTTCTCAGCTTCTCGAAGCTGCCCAGGAGAGAGTCGTGCGTGATTTGAAGAGAACAGGAAAAGCAGCCGCTTCATATCACTGATATATGGACAAGTGATCACATCCTTAATTTCATGGTTCCAAGCACATGACGCTGTTTTGAAGTCACTTGTCAATAAACATGTTATAGTAATTGTTCAGTGTGTGACTTACCATCTCTACTCTAGTGCTGGTACATGGTATTTTCAATGAAAAAGATGCATCTATGTATGTGTCTTATTTCTGCATGGCTTGACCATACTGGAGCAACTCACCAATCTTTGGCAGAATAATTGCTTTATCCAAGTCTTAATGGGAACATTCAGGTTATGCACTAGCATGGGAAGTTTCAAACGCAGCAACAAAAAAGCATGCAGTCATCCCGCTCTTAGCATAGATCAATGAAAATTTCAGCTTAGAAATGGAAATGTGCAGGTGGTGAAATATGTGCTACCCAGATAAAGGTGGCACTAACCTTCCTAACAGAACTTTGGTACCAACGATGATGTATTCCTTGCGCTGGGATAAAACAAACAGGGTGTTAGAACTGCTGGGTTGGGCAATGAGCCAGCTGAAAGGTCTGGGAATTTACAAGAAGGTCATGGGAGGCCTTCTGACAGGGTCTATGTAGTGCCATTTATCCCGTCATAGCTGAATACTTTCCTAGCCCTGGTCCTAGTAGTAGCATCAGGGTCCCTCTTCCCCATCTCTCTCTCTCTCTCTGTGTCCTTTGGAAGTTCGTGTTTGGTTTACAGGATAGGCATCTGAGCTAGTTAGCCCATCCCATAGCTAAACAAGCCAGTGAGTATGTAAATCCTGGAGACAGCGTTAAGCTGCAATGGCATAAATCAAAATGTAGATGCTTGCCATGATACTTCTGGTGCCTAAATTTCAGCACAATGTTAATTCAAGACAAATTTTAGACTTGGGTCAGCACAGTTCTTCAGCTCATTCACTATTTTTCTTATACAAGTGCTCATATCCAATTTACCGCAAATCAAACACAAGCACTTTCTCAACATAGCTAGCAATCCAGCAAAAGGATTTTATGGTCCCAAGAGGCCTCACATTTATTTTGAATTAATTTGTGTTTGTATCTTAAATGCTGAAACCATCTTTGGATGTGTGAATTCTGTACACATCCTTGGTTGTGACATCTCATTGATTAATACAGTACATGTCTGCTGTCTGTCTGTCTCTCTCGCTCTCTCCTTTTTTTTTCTTTCACTCCTCAGGATCAAATTTTTATGGAGAATGTTGGTGCAGTTAAGCAGCTCTGTAAACTAACCAACAACCTTGAAATCAGGATAGAAGAATTGGAAGTGTGGAATAGAAAACTGGCCAAGCTGAAACGGATGAGCAGTTTGAAGTCAACAGTCAGTGAAAAGAGCACATTCAGGTATCCCAGGATCAATTCAGGAGAATTGTCTGATGATTCTGATACTGGAGATGATAAAACAGCCTGGGTGATAAAAGTTAGAACTAATTTAGTCTGGTGGGGGTTTCGTTCCTTTCCAGGTACTCTTACTTCTGAATTTTGTAATTATTTTTTTAATTCAAATCATGTGCAATCATACAAAGCTTTCCTATTTCTTAAGTCACTTCTTTTTTCAAAGTTTAAAATCTCCATGTCTGAAAAGCAGCAACTCAGTAGCAATCACTTCTGGAAGCTCTGCAGCCTAATAAAATAAGGCCTGAATGACTCCGGTTATAGGCCTGTAATAGCAATTTCCAAGTTAAGGGAAATCCACAAAAACCTCTTTGATGAAGAAAATCTTACTTACAATTTGTGTGAAATTGATGAGCATTTCATATTTCTAAATCTTTTTTCAATTTTTCTTTGAAAATAAATGTAGCATTTAATAGCATGTACCTGAGCAAGTTGACGAGTGCCCTTTGTTCTTGAAAACAAAGCTATGGCCCCACTGACTTTTTTTGTTCTTTTAAAATGTTGCTATCACAAAGGCATGTATCATTAAAATCCTACTCAGAAAACATCCCTTTCCCATTTATTACTGCTGAAGCACTTGAATGGTAATCAGTTTTTTTGTATTTTACAGCAAATTTAGTCGAGCTGCTAGTCTTTTACCACCAAGAAAACCAATCCCTATACCACACAGTAAGGTGAGTGAAATGTACTATACGGTGGGTGTAAGAGTGAGTGAGACAGAGAACGTTCTTTATAAGGCTTAGGCCTGGTCTACACTACAGAGTTTAGGATGATGTAAAGCAGCTTATGTTGACCTGACTCTGTAAGCAGTTACACTAAAATGTGACTCATACCAATGTAACTCACCCACTATCTCCACAAGAGACGTAGCGCTTAAGTCGATGTAGTGAGGTTGAGGCAGTGTCAGTGTAGACACTGTGTTGCTTATATCAACTGTTGCTGCCTTTTAGAAACCATCCCATAATGTCCAACACTGGCAGTTAAATTGGTGCAAGTGCTCCTGCTGAGGATTCACACTGCCAACAGAAGGAGTGTAGTGTGGACGTGTAAAACCAATTCAAATACTGCAGTGGTTGTACATCAATGTAACCTAGGTAGACCTAATTTTGTAGTTTAGCCTTGCCCTTAGACATAAGTGCTATAAGATTTGGTGGAAATGGGGTTTTTTGACATATGTTAAACCCCATTGAAATGCATTTTTTCAGATTGCATGAAAAATGGTATTCATGCCTCCAAAATAGAATTACATGCAATCAAAGAATTCCACTACCATGTTTGTTTAGTGCAATAGGAATTGCTTAAAACCAGGACAAAGTGCCTCAGAAGAGCAAGAGTACAAATCAAAGTGAATGTATGTATGAACGTAACAAAACAGTTGTTAATTTTGAGGGGAAAACTGTACCCCTTAAAAATCAGGAGTAGTTCACCAATGCAAGCACGACATGAGGGAAGTTCCTCCTGGGATCTGAAATTTTTGGCTCTAATAAAAAGGAAGCGTGTATGAAGTCTTGTAATACATCCCAGGTGACAGGGTCAGGCCAGATGGCTACAGGAGAGTGTTAGAAGGCAGATATATTAGTCCCAGATTAAGAAGGTACATTTTCCCTGGGTAAGGTAACGGGGCAGTTCCGGAACAAGACGGAACTTGCTGGAACAAATTCAGGCAGGCAGGCTAATTAGGACACCTGGAGCCAATTAAGAAGCTGCTAGAATCAGTTAGGGCAGGCTGGCTAATCAGGGCACCTGAGTTTAAAAAGGACCTCACTTCAGTTTGTGGCGTGCGTGCGAGGAGTTGGGAGAAAGAGGCACTAGGAGCTGAGAGTGAGGACGCGGACTGTTGGAGGACTGAGGTGTACAAGCGTTATCAGACACTAGGAGGAAGGTCCTGTGGTGAGGATAAAGAAGGTGTTGGGAGGAGGCCATGGGGAAGTAGCCCAGGGAGTTGTAGCTGTCGCATAGCTGTTCCAGGAGGCACTCCAGACCTCTGCATTCCACAGGGCCCTGGGCTGGAACCCGGAGTAGAGGCCGGGCCCGGGTTCCCCCCAAATCCTCCCAACTCCTGGTCAGACACAGGAGGAGTTGACCTGGACTGTGGGTTCCACCAGAGGGGAAGGTCTCTGGGCTGTTCCCCGACCCACATGGTGGATCAGCAGAGACTGCGGGGATTATTGTTCTTCCTTTTTCCCATGCTGGCCAGTGATGAGGATAGCTGAGTGAACGGGCAGGTTTGAGCCACTAGCAAAAGTGACCAAACTAATTTCCCCTCAAAATTAACAACTGTTTTGTTACGTTCATACATGCCGTGAATCTCTGAGGCAAGCAAATCTGCCAATAAGCGCAGGACCCACAAAGGCAGAGGAGGAACTTTGTCACACTGCCCATATATTTGAGCCTTAGTCTATCATTTTTGTTTATGTGATGCCTACTTACCATCTCTCTATGGCTCAGCGGTTGCACGCCCAGTATTGTACAGTGTTTCCTCCTTCAGATTCCAAAGCTATTGTGGTGAAAAAGTTAGAACAGTTAGAAGTTAAAACATGCAAAGTGTGCAACAGGAAGTCTCATCTATGGCCATGGGGACTCCCTCTGTCACAGCAATGTTCACTGTATTCTGATACAGAAAAGAAAGGGTTAAAGGGCATGTGCTAAACTATTTTGTCATATTCTTCTCAGTCTGATATCGTTAGTCCTGCCATTTCATATCACCCATCGCTATTGTTGGTGTCAATGTGCGCTCATAGGTGATGGGACAAAGCACTCTGTATCCAGTAATGATGATCCTCAGTCTCTCCATATTCTGAGACCATTTTTCCTCTTGCCCAAATGTACTTTCTTTTTGTATTTATATTAGATTCAGTTAAGCCTCTTCCTGGGCACATACTGGAGGTTCCTCCTCTCGTAGATGTGGTTGCCACCAATTAATTTCTTTGGTTTAAACAAAGGGGCGTTTCCTCCAGGGGTGAAGATAGCAGCCGAAGAAAGCAGCATTTTCTGTGATTATTACCAATGCTAATCCATTTTGGGGACAGCATTCTTTTCCTGTCCTCATCTTTCCATTTCCCTGAACTAGTGACTTCTGTGATTCCTGCCACCAGTCCATCAGGAGACGTGGGACCCCATTTTAGGGAAAATTAGCTTTATTAGTTATTTACCAACTGACAATTCGTCAGCTACATATTACTGGGTATTTCATGTCAGCTGAATGTTTTTTTTTTTTTTCTAGGTTTGTTTTTCTGAGAGAAAACAGTCATGGCCCAACAGGATTTTCCAGATCACGGTAATAGCTTTGGTAGCTGTTATGGCACTATGGTAAGAAATATATTATCCACACATTTTGTTTCTTCTCTTGCCCCCACCTCTTATCCCTTCAGAAATCAGATTCTGGTTGTCCATAAACATTGGCTCGAAAGAAACATTTTAAATTAGAATGTGGAGCTCCTTGCAGTAACAGTTGCAAAAAATGAGCGTAGTGTTTTCTCTTCACTACTAATATTCAGTGCATGGAATATGCTCAATTTATTAACTTGATAATAATGTGCCTCTAAATGAGGCAAAGTCAAAATATTTGTCTCTCATATAAGGGTTGCCTGTTCTGTTTTTTTTTATTCTAGAAATATTCTGGTCGTACACACCTAGAAAAGGGACAAGAATATTATTACTGCAGTGTCCTCAGCTAATGCTATAGTACTTTTGATAAGGGGACGTTGAACATATTTTCTGCTGTATTTACAACTGTACTGTTGCTGTTACCTCAGAGGAGCTCTCTTCCCACAATGCAATACTTCAACCCACACTCAGAAAGGAACACATCAAAAACTGCTGGGTCCCTTATGCCAGCTAAAGGCCTGATCCTAAATTGGGTCAATGAGAATCTTTCTATTAATGTCAATGGGCTTTGGAAGAAGGGAGCTTGCTGTTGAGATCCTATTAATACGTGTGTGCATCAGATGATGGGTATGAATCTACTGACTAATTATCTTTTTACAGTGCCTTGACAATATCCACCCTTTACATACTTAGCATAGAAGAGCAAGACATTAGTCAAAATCCCATTCACAGGCAAGTAGTTAAACTATTATGACTTCTGTTTCAATAAACAACTTCTGTAGATGTTTTGTAACTAATCGTTTTTCTTCTCCTTCACCAGCAATGCTACAAGTTCCATTACGCAGCATCCCTACACCACCGTGGCAGGTACTGTATCTGTTGTTGTTCCGTATGATGTGACTTCAGTTTCTGTGCTGCTGCAAAAAGTCAAGAGACAAACAGCACTATTGAGGAGTTGGTTGTTCTTTGTAGCACTCAGTGACAGCACAGCTTCTCCAACCATGACATCCAGCATTACAGTCCCCGAAGTGAATTTCTGTGACATCTTGCCTTGTGACAAGACCTATTGCTGTTCAATTCATCAAATACAAAGAAAAATTCCAAGATACCAGACCATGATGACAGAGGAGAGTAAGTTGAAACATGAATTCCTATTACAGTAACTCCTTCTCACTTAAAGTCGTCCCAGTTAACGTTGTTTTGTTGTTATGTTGCTGATCAATTAGAGAACATGCTTGTTTAAAGTTGTGCAATGCTCCCTTATTTGGCAGCCGCCTGCTTTGTCCACTGCTTGCAGAAAGAGCAGCCGGTTGGAGCTAGCTGGTGGGGGCTTGGAACCAGGGTGGACCCGCAGCCCCCCATCAGGTCCCCTAAGTTCCCTGTGTGGCAGCTGCCCAGCAGCCTATCAATTGCCGGCAGTTCAGCTGTCCCTCCCCCCACCGCCATGTGCTGCTCCTGCCCTCTGCCTTGGAGCTGCTCTCCGGAGCCTCCTGCTTGCTGTGCGGGGGAGGGGGAGGAAAGGGGTGCTAATATCAAGGTATCCCCTTTCCCCCCACTCCTGTACCCCCATCTCCTGTACCTTATCTCCACGGGGAGGGGGGGGGGAACACTACAGGGCTCAGAACTGAGGGAGGTTGCTGGCAGTAGCTGCTGTCTCAATTTGCTAATCTACTTAAAAGGGCAATGTACTTACAGTGGGGTCAGCAAATTTAAAGGGGCAATGAGCATCTCTCTCTCACACAGGGTGTGTGTCTCTGTCTCTCTCTGCCATGCTGTCTCCCCTCCCTCCGTTTGTGCTGCCTTGTAGAGTGTGAGGCTACATTAACAACAATGTGTTAACCCTTGAGTGCTCAGCCGAGTGCTAGTTCATCATTTATCAGTAAGGCATTCCCTGGGAAATATCCCACCCTCTGACTTCACCTCAACCAAACTTCACAATCATTGCTGTGTACAGTATTAAATTGTTTATTTAAAACTTATTGTGTGAGTGTGTGTGTGTGTGTAATATATATAAAAACAGTCTTTTGTCTGGTGAAAAAAATTTCCCTGGACCTTACCTTCACTATTTACATTAATTCTTATGGGGAAATTGGATTTGCTTAACATCGTTTCGCTTAAAGTAGCATTTTTCAGGAATGGAACTACAACATTAAGCAAGGAGTTACTGTATTATTAGAGCTCAGCAGGAAATGATTTTTTTCTTCCTGGAAAATTTTTTGAGATTTCAAAACCAGTTTCCTGTTGTGCCTCAGGACAAAACTGAGACCTTTTGAAAGTTTTCATAAAAAAACAAGGAGACACACGCACCTCAGAATAGCCATAACCCAGTTGCACTCATCTGGGATGCAGGAGAAGCAGATTCAAGTCCCTACTCTGAATCAAATAGAACAGGGGCTTGAACCTAGGTACTCCATATCCCAGGTGAATGCTCTATCCACCAGGGTATTCTGTGGTGGGTAAAAGTTCTATTGAGAATAAGCACTTAGGATCAAATTTCTAAAGGTATTTTGGCACCTAAAGATGCAGATAGGCAGCTAGTGGAATTTTAAAATGTGGTTAGGTCATTTGAAAATCCCAGTGGTCACCTATCTACATCTTGAGGCATTAGTTTATAACATCAAGCTGGGAGCACTTCTTACTAGCCAGTTATACTTAGTTAATGACCCAAGGTGAAGCTGAGGGCAGCTAAATCCTTTAATAAACCATCAGATACTTTTGACAATGAATTGACTGGATGTGGTGGAGGGAGAAGTAACTCATGTTAAAAACTGATCAACCTGGTATAGTTCCAATGTGATATTTTTTCAGGGCATGCATAGTAATTTCACTGCCATAAAAGTGAAATGTAAAGTAATAAAAACTAAGAGCTTTCTCTTCAGGTACGGGTTTTCCAAGCACTGTGATCTAAGAGATGGCATTCTGAGACACTGCACTGTAGAATAAAATAATACTTATTACTAAAATACATTTCTTCATATTCTCTCTACTATATATATGGTAGCATAGGTAGTAGCAGAAAGCGGCATTTGGTAACTGATGGCGCTGTAACATTAAATGGGGCCCCAACCTGGAAAAGGCTCAAGACTTGATTTTCTCTTTACTTCCAGACCTTACAATAATCAACACTTAAAAATGAATGTTGGTACTCTTAATCCCAACATTCATTCTCCTTTCTTCCCCTTTCGTTGACCTGAGGATTGGCCACTAACCAGTCAGGCTGCCAGGGCATGAATCCTTGCAATGACTACAGGGGTGTAGTCCCCATGGCCTGAGTCAAACGGCATGACTTTCACAATGTCAAGGCAGGGATAGTGCTGCATATCACACTGGCCCTGACAGACCCATCCAAGATCTTTACGGTACTTCACAAGGGAATTCAGTCAGGAGAAAAGAAGATTCTGAGCCCTGAAGTAAGGAGAGTCTTGTATTTGTAATGAACTAAAAGGAGCAGCCAGTACTGGAGTCCAAGACCCAGATCTGCAAAGGCCCTGGGTAGGCAGCAGGCCTTGACTCTTCTTGACACCTGGCAGAGAGACCTGGTAAAGGGACATTTAAGTTGTCTATATTCGCCATGATCCTGGTTCAACTTTTATGGATGGGCTATGAAAATCTTGCAATTCAATATACAATTTCAGTGGTGGTGACTCCTTGACCAGTATCTGTATCATAAAGTGCTGTCCTTCATTATTTTCTAGGGCTCTCAATTAATCACAGTTAACTCATGTGATTAACTCAAAACAAATTAACTCATTTAAAAAAATTAATCGTGATTAATCGCAGTTTTAATCATACTGTTAAACAATAATTGAATACCAATTTAAATTTATTATTATTTTGGATGTTTTTCTATATTTTCAAATGTATTGATTTAAATTACAAGACAGAATATAAACTGTACAGTGCTCACTTAAAAAATAATGTAATTACAAATATTTGCATTGGAAAAAAGAAACAAAAGAAATAGTATTTTTCAATTCACCTCATACAAGTACTGTAGTGCAATCTCTTTATTGTGAAAGTGCAATTTACAAAGGTAGATTATTTTTGTTATATAACTGCACTTAAAAACAAAACAATGTAAAACTTTAGAGCTTATAAGTCCACCCAGTCCTATTCTTGTTCAGCCAATTACTAAGACAAACAAGAACGTTTACATTTACAGGAGTTAATGCTGCCTGCTTCTTATTTACAATATTACCTAAAATCAGAATAGGCATTTGCACGGCACTTTTGTAGCCAGTATCGCAAGGTGTTTACATGCCAGATATGCTAAACATTATCTCCCATAAATGTAAACAAACTAGTTTTGTCTTAGCGATTGGCTGAACAAGAAGTAGGACTGAGTGGACTTGTAGGCTTTAAAATTTTACATTGTTTTATTTTTGAGTGCAGCTATGTGTTTTTTAAAAAAGTAGTTCTTTCATGATTAAGAGATTGCACGACAGTACTTGTATGAGGTGAATTGAAAAATGCTATTTCTTTTGTTTATCTAATTTCTTTTGTTTTTCTAATTTCTTTTGTTTAATAAAAAATTACATTTTTAAGTGAGCGCTGTACTCTTTGTTCTGTGTTGTAACTGAACTCAGTATATTTGAAAATGTAAAAAAATCCAAAAAAATTTAAATAAACGGTATTCTATTATTGTTTAACAGTGCAATTAAAACTGATTAATTGCGATCTTTTCAATCGTGATTAATTTTTTAAAATCATTTGACAGCCCTATTTTCAAATCATTGCTGTTAGTAAATAAGTAGTGGTTCTTATGATTCCAGCTGAACTAAGCCCTGTAAAAGTCATAGCTCAACACAATACATTAAAAAGGACAGCCCTGAATGACTTGTATTACTCTGAAGCTTGAATGAGTATCAAGATTTCCTTAATTAAAAATACACTAATCTAATTTAAAAGTGAGAGAAAAAGAAAAAGAAAAAGCTGTCATCCCCATCTGGGTATCTTTTATATTAGATGATGAGAGTGCATTCCTATAGCAGGAAAAAAAGATGCACAGAACAATACCTACTGTTGGAATCTCATGCTCTAAATAGCATGAAGTATGGATCCAAGAGTGAAAATCTGCTCAGCACACAAGCTACTGAAATATAGCAAATCTACAGCAAACTTAATGAGGCTGAACAGATCTCCCAAACGGATGGTGGTAATGTCAATAATCAATCCAATTGCAGAGAAAATCAACAAGCAGCTTAATGTAGCTGTATCCAAAACAAATGAGAAGGAAGAGGTTGAACAGACCAAAAAGCTGAAAACTAAACACAGGGAAATAATCAGGACAAACGTGTATTTTAAGGAATCAGTTCACCAATCTAAGAACGTAGTCACTGAAGGTTACAGCTGTTTGCAAATACAGTGGAACCGAATGCAAAATCCAGAGTGCATTTCAGTGGGGCCTTTCTCTGATCTCCAGGCACACGCACACTTCGTGGGTGCCAACAGCAGCGCATACACTCCTGGGTGCACAAGTGCTTTAAGTGCAGATCCTATCTAAGTATGTTTCAGATTTGTGTAAAATGAACAGTTGTGCTAGTGAGACTCAATTGCTTGAATGTTCAAGGACAGCAGAAATAAAACCACGTCCAAGCAAGGCCAAAGCAATTCTTTAAAAAATGTCAGCAGATTTTCACAGATTACATTTTGTAGCATTTGCCTCACTCTAGTTGAACATGGTCCATTTCCCCACACATTATTTCCTCAAATAGGGCTATAGTTCTTTGTTTCCAGCCTAGCAGCCACTATGGCATATCTATTCATGCTAACTGTCCCTGAGGAGGAGGGACTGTCCTTATTTTTTAGCAAAATTTTGTCATTTCCTCCGTGTGCTTCCCCCCCCAAATCATTGCTCCTCATAGAGCTCAATGAGGGCTAAAGGCTCATTACAATTTTTAACTGTACGTGTCCCTATTAGTTTCCTTCAAATGTTGTCATTTATGGATTCATAACAGTGTGCACTCATTAGATCAACATAACATGAGGTTATGATCATATTCAGTGTCCTCCTTTCATAGAAACGTGTTGAATGCTTTGGACATTTCAATGAATACCACTGCACTTCTTCTTGGTAATTTCTGATCCTCTGGAATGATGTTCTGTGCCTCCAAACAAAAAGGACTTTACCTAGAATTCTTTTTCCTGCATTTCATTTTGATCCCACCAATGGACAGGATAAAGCAGTAATTTGGATGGATGAGGTAATATTTTTTTATTGGACCAATTTCTGTTGGTGACAGAGACAAGTTTTTGAGCTCCGTGGAGCCCTTTCTTAGGTCTGTATATAACTTGGGTGGATCAGAGGAAATCTGGAAGACCTGGATACCCAACCCCATGCACTGCCCTCCTCAAAACAGTGAAATCTAAGTTAAATAAATTTACCTTTGCCCTAATTCTATGCGTCATTCAGAGCTTGTTAACTGAAAAGCCTAACGCTTCCATCATCTTCCATCTAAAGAATCCATGGTGGAACTGCTCCAGTGTTCCAGCCTGTGTACTGAATTTTCCAGCAGAGCACTCTAAAGTAGAAGTAGCAAGACTACAGGGAGAATGTCTGCTTTTCAGTGATCAGTCTGTCAGCTCCAGCAGAGGACTGAGGACCACTTTCAGAAGGACTCTTAATGAGCACACATGCTGCCAGGGAAGTTTGCAATGCGTTATCTAAAATTTTGATCAAGATTTTCCACTGCGAAGAACATCAGAGAGGAAAGAACAGGAAGGGGGGGGGGAGGAGACACTACAGAGAGTTTGTAAATTTAAAAGAATGAATGAGCAAATAGGAATAAGGTGATTGTGGTGGGAGACAAAACTGGCAACATGTGAATTATTCAGAACAAAACACCTCTTGAAATTCAAGTTTTTTTTCTTGCATTTCATTTCTGTCATCTTGAGTCCTTAAACTTAGCCCTTTAAACTTGTCCTGTGCTGTGGGTTTGCCACAGCCAACGTGTCAACTGCACCTCAGTGGACAGATTGTCCATCCTGAAGACAGGCAAAGGATCCCTCAGCCTCTGCGGAAAAGATACAAAACCCCACTGCCATGCTTTTAGTCTAAGGCACAGACAGTGTAGTGATTATACTGTAACCCCTGTACATTTCAAGTGTCCTTATTAGAAAATAGAGACATAAACAGTTCACAAAACATACCTAGAATTCCTTAGTCTGGTGCTGATAGTCAAATCCTTGAACTTACAGAACAGAGATCAGTAAGTACAATGATCACATTTCTAGATTTCTCCGTCAGTTTCTCTAGACTGAAGTCTCAGGCCTGATCCACACTACGGAGTTAGGTCAGCGTACATCGACCTAACTCTGTAAGCGTCTACACTAAAATGTAGCTCCCATTGACGTAACTTGCCCACTACAGGATTTAATAACTCCACCTCTGCAAGAGACATAGCACTTAAGTCGATATAGTTAGGTCGACACAGTATCAGTGTAGACACTGTGTTGCTTCCATCGACTGTTGCTGCCTTTCAGAAACCATCCCAATTGGCCCACACTGGCCTTTAAATTGGTGCTAGCGCTCCAGATGAAGACGCGCACCACCGACACAAGGAGTGTGCTGTGGACGTGTAAAACCAATGCAATTACTGTGGTGGCTATATGTTGACGTAAGTTAGCTTGACTTAATTTTGTAGTGTAGACTTGCCCTCATCCCTCTGTCCCTGACGTACTACATTTTAGGTCAGTCCTTGTTGTCCTATCCCTTATGTTCAGAGGCCTTGGATATTCCCCTTGCCTATTTTTATGTAGCCAGGTATCCATTTAGCCATTGCCATGCTAGCCGGGAGGGCATCCTTGCTAATGACATCTTTACAGTCAGATGTATGCAGGTGCACTGTGTTGGGAAGTGAATTAATATCTCTTTCTTTCCCTTGTACAACAGCCTATATATTCCATGCTTCCTGGGGAAAATCCTTTCTATTTGGTTGTTTATTTTTTTCTTCTTATATACCGTAGCATTTCAAAAGCTCATTTGATTCTGTTGTCCACAGTTCCCTTTCCTTTGTATGCACCTTGGTCTGAATGAAGCTGGTTTGCGTTTTAAATGAGTCCATCATTCATGGTACATGTGCCTTGGTGGTCTGTCATTTGGGGTAGAACATTTTGCTATCTGTCTTGTGTTGATGTTTTTCTGTCCATTTTTAACATTAGAATAGTTTGTATAGGGAGATCAATAATATTGTCCCCTTCCACAGGAGACAAAATTAAAGCACTACAAGAGAGGAGATTGATGGAAAAATTTGATCTTGGAATTGACTGTAAGTCCTCCTTTTAAAAGAAATACTTTAAATACATACTTTGACTACTTTTGTTTAACTTCCTGATGGCCTGGTTTGGGGAAATTGCTTTATAACTGGTGGTTATAGGAAATTGGAGTTCTGGAATCTGTTAAATACCTGTGGTCCACTATAATTTTCTTGTGGAATAAATTGCATAGAAGTGTTCTTTAGACTTTTACAGATCTGCCTGCAACCCCCTTTAAGGATTTATTTGTCTTAGACCTGGGGATGATCTGCATAAAGGTAGCACTGCATATGTTGAACTCATCTCAGCTGAACTTCTCTTGCACTTATTTTCTCAGTATACTTATTGAGCCAAAGGACTTGACTTCAAGTCAAATTAATGGAAGGTGTGTTATATACAGTTTTCCCCTCCCCCCGGCCAAGGTAAATGACAGCTCTCAACAGAAGCTATATCCTGCATGATGCTGAGGACTCTGGGCCCGATCCAGCAAAGAACTTAAGCCACTGAATAGGCTCAATAGCAGCAAAGGGACCACTCGTGCTTAAAGTTAAACACATGCTGAAGTGTAGGTGAGCAGGGTTGTCTGCCGTTTGGTGGCACAACTGCTGTCGGGTTTACAACACTGGTGGAGACTAACTTGTGTTAGAAACAGTGGGAATTTTTGCAAAACTTCCTGGTGCAGACAAGGCTCTTAATTTAACTGAAGACTTCCCCCTTTATAGGTTGCACAACACTATCAGATCCGTTCTGGACAAACGAATCACTGTGTTTGCATCTCATGGTTGCAGATAATATGAGAGTGCACTCTGGCATTGCCGAAGCATGAAGAGCATCAGCGCTTATGTTTAAGTTAGATGGTGTTTTGTTTCTAGCAGCAGCTTGTTTAAATAAGAGTCCATGTGATCCACTGGAGGGGGCACGGGCATTCAAGTCAGGAGACCTGGGTTCTATTTCCTGGTCTGCCCTAGACTAGCTGTGTGACTCTGGAAAATCCCGCACCTCTGAGTCTGTTACCCTCCCATCCTATGGCTTGGCTGTTTAGTAGCAAGTTCTTTGGGGTACAGACAGTCTCTGATGTGTATGTACCATGCCTAACACAATGAGGCCTTGATCTTGGTTGGGGCTTCCAGCATGCTGTAATACAAATCATAATAAAGTAGTGATGTCATGAAGGGAAGGTTACTAATGTACTAGATCTTTAAGGGACAAATATGGTCAATCTATCTAAGTTATTTATGCCATCTATTGCCATAGTAGCTGAGCACCTCACGATCTTTAATCCTCATGACACCCCTGTGAGGTAGGGAAGTACTATTATCCCCATCTCACAGGTGGGGAGCTGAGGCACGACAACACTAAATGACTAGCCCAATGTCATACAGGAACCTTATGGTGGAGCGGAGAATTGAGCCCATGTCTCCCAAGTCCCAGACTATTGGCCTAACCACTGACCTTCCTTCTAGTCTGGTAACAGCTTCCTTCCTCATCCTTTCCTGTAGTCATTACTGTCACAGTTAAGAGCAACTGCACCTGGGTTCCCCTCTCCAGGGCCCTGCAAGGGCACCCACTCTAGGCTCCAGGATTCTCAGACTTCACCTCTCTTGAGTGGAAGCCTGCATGTCTTTACCTCCTGATCAGGGTATTTCCAGGCTGCACAGTTCCCTACCTATACTGTAACCTCCCCAGCATAGTCAGGCTGCCTAAGCCAGCCTGCTTTCTTGTTCTCCTGAGAGACAGTAAATAGTTTAATTGCCACAGTTATTAGTTACCCACAGCTCTCTAAGCAAGTGCTTTATTCTTACGGTAAAAGCATTACTGAGAAAATATATTAAAAACAGTAAAAGAAGTTACACACATGCTAATAAGCTTACCAGAGATCACCCCCTATTCCAGTAGTTCTCAAACTTTTGTACTGGTGGCCCCTTTCACATAGCAACCCTCTGAGTGCAATCCCCCACCTTATAAATTAAAAACACTTTTATATATATTTAACACCATTATAAATGCTGGAGGCAAAGCAGGCTCTGGGATGGGGGCTGACAGCTCATGACCTCCCCATGTAATAACCTTGCGACCCCCTGAGAGGTCCCAACACCCTAGTTTGAGAACCCCTGCACTACTCCAACAAGGGCTGTGGGCGGCAGTTAGTCATTCAACCCCCCCCCCACACACACACACACACACCTGGAGTTTTTCCTGTGCTCACGAGTTCGTAAAAGCTTTCACTCAGGACTTAGCTCTCCTATGAGTTGGTGAGTGCCTCCTTTATCCAGCTGGGGCCTTTGAAGAGATCATGAATAGGTAATCAGACAGACCACAAGTTTTTCTTCAAGGCACAGCTTCAAAAGGATGGCTCTGAGAGTGGGTAATGTGTATACTCCCTGTTCCCAAGTATTTTCTAGGAACCCCACTCAACTAAAAATTTGGACTTGACTTGTCCATTGTTTTAAGAGAGTTCTTGGAAGCACATAACACTTCCCAGTGTTTACGTTAGTCCTGTCACCCCTAAAATATGAAATTCAGATACAGAATCTGAACCAAGTTCAAACTTCCGTAAAGTCTGGGGAGGTGGGTTTGACCTGGTGTTCGAGTTCAACACATCCTAAAGAGAAGGAAGAGAGACAAAGCTGAGATCTGAATTTCCCAAAATCTCAGGGGCTAGAGGTGGAGAGGGGGTTGATCTGGTGTTCTGGTTTGTCCTAATTCTAGATTTTAGCTGATCTGTTTCTTGAACCACAGTTTAATTGGTATGTAAGTGCATATGTACCCATGTTGTATCAAATAGGTTAATATAAAATCAAATACTTTTACGGAATGAAACATTTTCTGCAGGTGCGAATTCTTCGAAAAGTAATTCAAGGGATTCTTAGAAAAGTAATTCCATTCCATTCTGAATCGTTTATCTAGGAAAAGGCAATGATTTTCAAATTAAGGGCTGGTGTCTCTCAGATGTATCTGTGCAAGAGCAGCTCCTGTTAAGGAAACTAAATATGCAAATACACTCAGCAACTCTACCTTAGATGCTCTGTTCTAGGAAAATGTTTTAATATGAGGTGCCCAATATGTTGCCCATGGAATTCTGACATGTGACTTTTACTTTCAATCTCCCCTTTAACTGTGGAATGAGGATAAAGCTCATCAGCTGAAGGTTTCTATTGCTGGTGACTAGACCTGCAGCAACTTCTACCATGGATAATAAGGGGCTGGGAACTACGGCGTTAACTGCAATGTTATTACTGTCTTACCCCAAACTCCTGAAGTAATCGAGAAAAAAATTGTTCCTAATGTTTTTAGGGATTGATACAACAATCAGTTCCATGCAGATTTTGGAAACGCAGCAAAAAATTGACCGTCGCTATTGTAGTAAAGGTCGACAGTGCAGGTGGGTGAAATATTTTGTTACATTTTATTAGTGTGATGAGGTATGAATGCCATTAAGGTGGCATTGGTGCCTGCCTGTCCTCTCATGTGTTTTGATAAATATCCATTCCATTTTTCAAAGTTAATTGCAAATATTATTGTTTAAAAGAGACTTTTTACAGCATAATCTATTAAATGTTTTTTCTTAATCCAGATATAATTTTCATACTCATGCAGACAAACTTCATGAACTCTTTGGTGTTAATGTTGTCCCTTTATTGTTGCCAACATTTAGGTCTGGAAATTACAGCTATGTTATTCCTGTTAACAAATACACACCCATCAATGTAATACTCTCATTGGAAATCAAGTAAGTACAATCAATGCAAGTGTCTATAGGAAAAATGTGCTCTGGGCTTTAGAATGAAATTGCTTCTGCCGCATTTTTCTGGACCCCAGATGAAACTCATTCCTGTGCAGAGGGCCAGGACTATGTCTAGGCATAACTTAAGTCTTTGAAATAGCTCTGCAGTGGGATATACTGCATCAGGCTAGTGCCAGCACTCTGCACAAGGATGCATTTCATCCACTGAGACAGACGTTAAAATGTGATCGTCTTAGGCCCAAATTCTATAGATAAGCCCATATGTAACTTTACTCACTGCCCATAAGCATTTGAAGGATTGGGGCCTTCATTTATTGTGATTTTTCTTAATAAAGGAAATGTTAATTAAGAGACTAGAAAATAGTTCCTGTCCTTACCTATGCCATGGGGCAGAGCTAACCAACAGCAAAGCTCTTAGTCAGCAAAGGCTTCTCGTCTTGAACATAGGTTGAGTTCCATTCTGTTCTCTCAGAAGGTTCTTCTGCTCCTCTTCTCCTCCAGTGGAGGCTGATCCCACTCAAAATGGTTGTTGAATTGGGAATGCTTAGTTCTGCCTCATGACATTTCATTACTCTGATCTCTCAGAATTCCAAGGCAGAGTTTTATGAAGCTAATGGAACACGCTTTAAAGGCAATCTGCTGACCTCACATACGAACACTCTCGCTTGTAAGATTAGCGTGACCATAACAGGACTCCTACTGAAGTGGCTGTGCATCATCTGAAGCGGTAGAAAGAAACCTTTTGTTTAAGCGTGTGACTTTATGTACAAATGTTGCAGCCCTCGTGCATGGATATGAATGTGTCATGCTCATAGTTTTAGAAAATAGGGTGCTAAACTTATTGTCATGCTTCCGCTGTGTTCTCCAGTTCTTTTGCTCTGAATGTATTTCAGTGACCTTTCACTGACAAAACAAACCAACCAGAAATCCACAGACAATTCACATTTAATTGTGTGTGTTGTTATATCCAAATACTATGTTCTTATTTCCACTAAATAAAATCAAGTGAAGCCAAAATACCCCATTGCAACCTATCTAGGGCGCAGTATGTGGCATGTGCATTATACATTTGTACAATTGCTGTGTTGTACAAATGTCTAAGTAAAGCTGTACAAGCCCTTTTTTTCTCCTCCCAGAAAAAAAACAACCCTACATTTTTATGCCACCTTGCTGCTTCCATTTTTCTGTCACCTGTTGCCTCATCCAGCTTCTTCTGGATCTGTTTTTTTCTGACCCTCAAGTCCTATCACAGCTGCCCATGCTGGCAGGATTGGAAGGGCATGACCATGGTCAGATACTATTGGAAAAGGAGGGAGGCAGGGTCTTTTCAGTGGAAGGATTCTGACTGGAATTCTCTCCCTGGGCCAGTGTTGACATGGGACCTCAATCAGGGCAAAGCGCAGGATGTGCTTGTTCCCTTTTTAATTGCGTGCATGTTTGTGCACAGCAGGATTGTGGTTCTTTGTGAAGGTTCCTGTTCTAATGTGTGTGTTGGGCTTGTCTTCTGTCAAGGTTTGTTTACTGTCTTGTTATGGTGTCCAAAGGTTTTCTGGCCCTGGGGAATGATAAACTAAAGCATGTAGTTATTGTTGTTTTGGAGAGATTGGAATATGCTATAGCCTTTCGTCTGAACATCCTTTAGTGTTGGAGAAGTTTATATGCAGACATGGATTTGGCTTTGCAGTTAGATGGGCTGCACCAAAACTGCAGATGCAAACTCTCCCAGGAAAGAGTCCAGATCATGATTAGAGTTTCTGAGCCACAGAAACCCTAATTTCCTTTATTTTGGCCACTAGGGGCGTGTCTACATTGCAGCTGGGGGTGTGAATGGCAGCTGGTGCGGACGTGCCCACGCTAGCTGTACTCTGGCTAACTCGCTAATAATAGAAGTGAGGTTGCCATGGCGTGGGCTGCACATGTGAGTGTTTACTCCGGGGAGTGAAATGGGCTTGTGCAGCCTGTGCTGTGCCATTTCCTTACTTCTATTTGTAGCCCTCTAGCTAAAGGACAGCTAGTGTGGGCATGTCCACATGACCTGCCGTTCACACCCCCAGCTGCAATGAAGACACTACCCTTAAGAATTTGTTTTAGTTTTTTTACAGTCTGTCTTTCAGTTCCAAGCAGCAGAGTAGAACCTTGGATTCTTTTTCTTTTTTCTTGAAGCACTACGGAGCCATTAATCGTCTTTCAATGCAAAGTCACTTTTGGAAATATGTGTTCCTATCAGTCACGAAACAGAAAGAAAAGAGAGGCTTTCCAAGAAACCACCCAGGTAACACTTTTCTGAGTTGCAAAGATAAAATCGAGGCAAACCCAGGAATACATGTTCAATGTCCCCATGAACTTGGCCCTGAGAGGTATTAAGCAAAGAAATAATTTGTAACTAGTCTCGCCCTCTGTCAAATCATTTGGCACTTCTTAAAGACATCCCTGCATACATCTTTCTGAGACAACCCTGATACCTAAATTGCATGAGACTGTGGGCCTCAGTGATGCATTTTGGGATGTCTTTAGGAAGTGCCAGTATATGTTATAGATGAGACGATAAAACTTTGAAAAGGTTAGTCATAACTCATGTATCTCCCCAGTACAGGAGATGGAGACATTCAGGTTGTAATTCTGTGAAGCTGTGGGTGCTTAACTCCCTTCCCCAGCAGAAGGCCATCCTGGGGTGATCAAAGCACAGAGATGTGTTAGGGGTAGGGGACAGAAGAGCCTACACTCAGGAACTCCAGGCACATGCAAAGGCAGCAAAAGCAAGCCAACAAATCTCTAGGTTCAGTCAATTCCGCACTTGTGGGTGCTTGAAAAATATCAATGAAAAACAGATACAAGATTAAAACCCTCAAATTATTTTGGCAAACATATTAGGCCAAATTCTGCTCACAGTTTAATGGTGGAAATCCAAACTAAAATCCAAATCTAATAGAGTTAGTCTGCATTTCCACTGGTGTAAATGAAAGTAGAACGTAACCCATTAGTGCGAATCAGTTTGCTGCTCCACATTGCAAAAACTGAATTAATGATGGTTTAAGGCTCCCATTGGGCTCTTGTGAGGGTGGCTTTTTCCTGTCTTCATTTCTCCTCTGGCCTCTGTAGACTCACTCAAATATAAAATGCATGTTACATACCACTTGGGGTGCATGGACCCTCACAAACTTCAGAGCTGAAACTCTCCACTGGTGGTAAATACCTATGGAGGAAGATGTAACACGATAGGACTCTGGGGTGTTCGCCACCGTGGCCACATGGTGATGAAGTCCCCCACCCCCAAGCGCCTGGCCATCCTACTGCTTCCACTGCTAGTGAATTATGACTTTAAGGTGAAATCCTGGCTCCATTGAAAACAAAGGTAAAACTGCCATTTAGTTCAGTGGGGCCAGAATTTCACCTATAAAGCAATGTAGAGAGAAGCTTGCTGTGTGTAGGTGAGAATTATTTTCATATATTCTCTGGGATGTCTTGGGGGGAATAGAAGTTGTCCCAAACACCAGAACTTTTCCCTCCACCCAAGCCAGTTGGAGGTCTGATCCTGCCAGGTGTTGGGCACTCACTTCCAGCAAAGAGATGGGTGCCCTAAACTACCATTAACTTCAATAAGAATTGAGGCAGCTCAGTACCTCACAGGAATGGGTATTTAGTCTTTATTGTACTTGCCTGGAAGTGCGTCTGCTAGCTTAAAAAAAGGGTGGGAGTCGGGAATAAAGGTGGTAGAAAATTTGCAAATAAAATTCTAGGGCAAACCTACATGTCATGAACACTTGGGAGTCATGTTTGGCCCATTACACATCTGCTTTTAGCTTGGGGAACATACATGCTCCTTACACCCTGCATTCTTAAGTATTATTAAATTGCTGATTTGCTGCTGTGCTGATCAGCTGGAGCCCTGTCTTCCTCTACCTGCCCAAGATGACTTTCAAATGCCATTGAAAAAGATGTAGGGTTGCTGTGGCTACAGCAAATCATCAGGTACAAGCGAATGAAGATCCTGGGAGCTCTGACCTCCAGCTGTATTTCCAGCAGCCCCTGAAGCTCTGAGTCAAACCCAGAGAGTCTCCATATCTGCCCACGTAGGGATGTCATTGGGACTGACTGGCAGCAAAGCTAGTCAGGCTTCATGTGTCAACTTGAAATTCACATCAAAGGACTAAAGCTGTCTAGTTTGACCCATAGGTAAGAAACTGCTTCCAGCAGCTGTAACAGTGAGTTATTCAAGGTTGGCATGAGTCAGAATAAAAATGCTGCTATTGAAAGTATTTGTTTTCAAGCTTATTTTCCTGAGCGTAGAGAGATTTATTCCCCAGGGGTTAGTAGCCCAGCAGTCAGCTGGCCTCTGAACAATTTCTGCCTAAAATTTATAATGTGCATAATACCTATTGCCCCAGGGCGAGGGGGTAGCTGGGACTTTGATATCTGTGACATCTGTGAGGTCCTTGAATGAAATGTGAGTGCCAAGTCAAACCATTATAACATTGTTCTTCCTGGAAATAGTGGGGTTGAATCATCCCTATACAATCTCAGGGAAAAGTGTCAGAGCCAAAATACATTACTTGCATTTGTATGTGGTAGAGTGTTATATCACACACACACAACCAAATCTTGCATGCGGACATCTTCTTGCAACAGTCCTGGAGTGAAGATGCTGCTTTATGCCTTGGAATACATAGAAGCCTGTGCACACCCAGGGTATTAGTCCTGCTGCGGCTTGTTAATCAGCTGAATCACGTTTACCACTAGTGCACTGTAAACTTTACAGAGCACTTTGGCACCTCTGGAAAATTTTTAGTTTCCTAAAGGAGTCAAGAGGGAGCTTCGTGATTCACAGCCAGCCTAGAATGCTGGGAGCCAGATGTCTGTCAATTCCTGAGCTGATCAGAACAAAACCCATTCAGAACATTAAAAGTCAGCACTTTCCTTTTGTCTTTAAGTGTGCTGACTTCTCTCACTGTAGCTATCAAGTCTTGTTATCGCAATGACTCATACTGCATTTGGCAGTGAAATGCTTTCACAGCCTATCCTTCTCTCCAACTGAATGTAAAATGAGGTTATCAAATTTCTTTTTCTATAATTCATTATCTAGGGATGTCAGCATATTTGGATTCTCCCTGTAACTTGGTGGTATGACAGCGCATACCATTTCCGAGTAGCTGCACCGGTAAGCCTTTTTCAAATGGGAAATAGACCAAAAGACAAATGACATTTTAGCTGTGATTAGTTTCTACATTAATCTCCTTTATTTTTCTCCTGCAGGATCTTGCAGACTGTTCAACAGATCCAAATTATGCTGGGATATTTTTTACGGATTACTACTTCTACTTCTATCGACAGTGTAACTAAAATATTGCTGATCATTCTGTTTATTGGGGGGAGAGATAATACTCATGGTACCGAAAAGACTATTGTCTTAGTAAAAGCTTGCAAATGAAATGAGATGTGTGGAATGTTTCCTAGTTTTTGTTTAACCGTTAACTTTTAGAGACAAGTGGGCAAAAATAAATTATTTGACTGTAGTCCAGGCTCTGCATGTCAAGTCATTACTTGTAAAAGGACGTGATTTCTGAAAATCAATGGAGAGCTCAATGTGTAGATATTAAAGAGTTCCACTGCTCTTAGCACTGCTATAAAATACAGGAGATGGGGGGAAAAATAGTGGCATTCTAATATACTTCAGACTGTTCAGAAGACTTTGACATAATAAAAATATCAGTTGCAGCTGAGACTTGTTTTTGTCCTACAAGCATCTACCCTCCAGTATTGTCTGCCTCCTTCTTTATAGTATATATGATTTCTACCAAACAAAAGCTTTGCTATAGAGGAGGTTGTACAAGTACAAAATCTCATTGACGTAATAGCGACAAGTTTAGGAAACCTCGTTCCACAGTGCATGCAATTATTTCACTGCGTCATGTGGGCCAACACACCCGTGCTAACATCACACTCAGCAACAAATGTGCAACTTTAACACCAGTGATGTTGATGCTAGAATGAAGAGTATGTTTCAGATATGATCTTTTGGTTTGATCCGTGCAGAAGAATATATCCTTGGTTATTTTTTGGAGTGTGTCACGGCTGTGCTGTGCCCCAGCTTTTAAGCAGTCTCTTGGAGAAACCACTTCAGTGGGCCAACCCCAAGAGTTTCCCGTCAAGTAAGTCACTTTCATGCACATCATTCATTAAAAAGTTACAGAAAATTCCCACTTTGTTACAATGTGTAAAGACGTGTCAGTGTGCTGGAAGAGTGAGAGAACAGGAAAATGATAATGGGATGCTGTGCATAGTTTTGTAAGATAGACGTGTACTTGGTGGTATCTACATTCTTCTATGTTTAGGAAAATTGTTTTTTTAAAGATAAGGTTAGGATGACTGTCACTTAAGTTGTACGTTTGCTGTTGAGATAGAGGAAGTACATGAATTATGAGTAGTGGATGCTGTCAGTAAGTGGGTATAAGGAAAATTATTTGTATTGGGGAGGGAGGAGAAAAAGGAATATAATGGTGATATTCTAGATTTTGGGAAATTGATGAAATGTACATGTGAGCAATCTTAATCCTAAATTAAATCTATTGTTTGTTTTTTTTTGGAAATTTCTCTGGTTTCTAAATAAACATAACAATGCTAATATATATTCAGATGTTTAGCCATGAGGGGAAAAGCTCTGAAGAAAATCTTGCCTCTAAAAATCAGTTTACTTTAATCTTTGACCACAAACACTAAAATGTCTTAATTGTAATTGTATGGCTACTGTCTGACACCACTATAGGGCAGAATTAAGGTTGTCTGGGTGCCTTAAGTTTGTATTTCTTTAATGTAATCCTTAACTCTGAACTTTGTGGGTTTATAGAAGTTTGGGGATAATTGCAACCTCCCTGAAATTTTTTACTCCCAAATGACTAGCAGAAACTCTCAACCTTGACTCCATCTTTGCCGGGGAATATGTCATATAGATGACATATTCTATAATAGCCCGGAAATGGGCTTGATATGGAAGTCCGGATCCAAAAGGATTCAGAATCTGGACAAAACCAATTTCTGCTTTTAGGTTTCAGAGGAGAATCTCCTACATTGATGGTTGTCTCTTAAAAATTACACATGCTCGCCATCAAACACATGACCATACACATGCATTTTTAACAAAACTGTAGATCAATAGGCCTACCTGCTGTTCACTGCTCTTGGTAGATATATTGTTCTAACTGACCTGTAGCACTGCAGTGGGAGAATGTGGGTTTTCCACAATGTAACTTCATCAAAACAAACCTCTGGCTAATGCAAGTGGAGACCCCCCCCCAACATTTTTGTGCAACATTTTCATGGTGTATTTTGTACAAATTGAATTTTTGACAAATTTAGTTGAAAATTCTGTAAGTTTCAACCAGTTTCACCCATGGCACATTTATCTAGCCACTCTCCTTTTAGGACTTGATGCAGGTTCAAAGGAATAGCTGTTGAGCAGAAGCCCATATTCTAAGTTGTCCAACGTAACAAAAGTCCAACTCTTGTTGATTATTTATAAAGTAAGCAAAAGACTAGTACAGTACAAACTGGATAGTCTAAGTTAAAGTAATTGTGATATTGGGTCTTCATAGCTTCTGGAAAAGTCTCCGCTTGGTATGACAAGCTGAGATTCTAGAAAGGGGAGGAAATGTTTATAGTTAAATAACCATGTCTTTTGTTTTGTTACTTGTAAATGGGATGAGGCTGTCACTGACATCTTCTTGGACACTGAGCTTACATTGAAATGTAGATAAACAGGCTCAGGCTGAAGCCCAACCCCCTCCCCACCTCTTCCGTCCATATAAGCACTTAGGACCCAGGTCCCAGAATCTGGTGGAGGATAAGTCCAAGCCTAAATCCCTCTGGGACTTGGGTCCAAATGTTATCATTTTGTAGTGTGGATGGAACATAGGCCTGGGTTCTCAAGACTCATGTCCTTAGAGACCACCAACACTATCCCATAATCCCATGGGCCAGTGTTCCTAACCCATTCCAAAAGTAGCCTATTGACTCCCAGGAAATGGAAGCAACCCCTCTGGTGCAAGTACAGCTGCTTGGCGTTTAACCCTTCCGTTTGATTCTGACCACTGAGCTGCAGACAGAGATAACTGTCTATGACCACTGACAGGAACAAGTCTTTGACAAGTGTGCTACTACCTGGCCACTGAACCACAGTCAGATACTGGTAAATCTCTGGTGTGAGATGAGCATGACATTCAAATTCAGTCAGAATCCCAGAAACGACCATGTGTACCAAGTAGTAGTGAACATGTTGATAGTGTTGGAGATTCACTGGACCTATGACCAATGCAGAAAGCAAGTTAAGCAACGCAAGAGAGAGTGCTGGAAAGTCAGGGATGAGAACAGCCCCTCGGAGAACTCACCATCATCCTGCCTCTTTTATGAGGACTGTGACCAGGTGCTCGATACTATGCCAAAACACTGATCCCACAGCAGTTCATGATAGCCTGGTCAGCCGGGATGGTGAGCTTTTGACCCTCAAATCCAATATAGCACTGGAGGGGAGCCAGCAAACAGTGGATCAGGCTAGCAAAGTGACTCTGATGCTCATACCAGTCCCCAAGGAGGCTTTGCCGATGGAGCAGCTGTCGCATGTCCTGGATCCAAACCTGGAAGAATTTGATGACCTCCAGGAGGAGCAGCTGGTCACAGAACAGGCAGCAGAAACAGATGAAGCAGAAGTAGCCCCGGAGCCTGGTAATTTTCTGGCTCTGTTGTTGTTAATGTACAAATGGGACTGATTTCCAGTTTGAGCAATTTTTGAGCAATGCAATTTTTGTTACAAGTCATGGGTAGTAGTGTGTATTTGGTACTAGAGAAGACTTCATGCCAGCCCCATGGCATTATCCCCCACACCACAACGTGGAATTCAAAATGAAGACCAGGAAGTGAAAAACAGTTAAGCATTTCATGTGACATTTTTACCTGATTATGCACACATTCTTACAAAGATGTGCTGGGGTGTTCAGAGGAAGAATCTTATATTGCTTTGCTTTTCTGAGTACTCAGAATTTTTGAGCCTTGACGTTCCAAAGGCACTTTTCTCTGAGGATGTTCTGAACCTTTTTTGAAATTCCGAGGCAATAATGCACTGTGATATATCTGCTTTCAGGCCCTTCCACCTTTGCAGCTCAGTCTCAGTCCAACAGGAGACTGGTTTTTCAAACGGTTGGAGAGCGGTCCAAGAGGCAGCGTTTCCTCAGTTGCCTTAGGGTTGACATCCTGGACAGGGCCAATATGCTAGTCAAATACCAAAGGGAAAAGGATTCATGACAAATGGAAATGCCCAGGCAGGCTGTGGAGCATGAGGAGAACACGGCAGTGCACGAGGAAAGAGTGGCAGTGCAGTTTCTGGCACAGGAACATTGCTTGGGGGAGGAAGATGGAGCACAGCAGCAAGACCTGTTTGAGAGGCTGCTTGCACTAGTGGCCACTGGAGTTCAGGCTGCTGCTCCAACTGCACCACGCCCTGAGTTCTCTCCATGGTACCAGGTCCTCCAGACCAGGAATGCATTGGCCAATACCAAGGTTGGGTGGCCAACGCCAACATGGCTGAATGGTAGTTAGACAGGAAAACATACCTCCTGCAGTTCTTCACTACTTTGCAGTGGCACCAGCTGTGCGCTAAACATGGTAGAAACAGACAGGGGAATGGTAAACCAGGAGGCACACACAAGTAGAGGGTTTAATTATTTGCAGGGACAAAACATACTTGAAGATGTGTGATGCTGTGTAAAACAAAGGTGACCATTTATATCACTCTTGTTTCCACGGTTACACCATTCCACAAACCTTATACAAAGTGTATCATATAAGGTGTCAATGGAAAAGTTATGATTTGCTAAGTACGATTATCCTGTTTATATGCATATATCATCTTTGTATCTGAAATCATGAATATTAGCTATGTACTTGTATCTTACACATGTGTTGTATTCCTGGGTGACATCCCCCAGATAGAAGTTACATCAAGGCTAGACAGCTGTGTGTTAATGGCCCCGCTCATCAAGGATACTCAGCTGTCACAGTGGGCCATTGAAGAAACTCATCCCATGCAGGTGGCTCTTCCTGAGGATGCCTTCGACAGGGAGGGGCCAATGGCTGCTCCCTGTGAGTCACAAGCCATGTGATATGCTCATGTGACCCTGGACTCCACCTTGGGCCAGTAACTTTCCAGAAACAGGGGAGGTGGGCTTTTTTTGGGACAGTAAACTTCCATGCACCGGGCAGAGGATATAAAAAGGCATGTGAGTCGTCTTCGTTTTCTTCATTCCCGGCTTCATTTCTCTGGACGGGATTTCTAACAAGGAAGGTCTGAACAAGGACTGATGACCCCCAATCTGTTTGGGTGATTCCAGAGAGACTTTTGCAAGATAGCAGTTTATTCCATCACTGCTACAAACCTGATATAAGAACTTTGCAACCACTTGCATGATTCCTTAACCATTCAATAATTCTTTTCTTTCTATTTTTAATTTAGTTTTTACTTACTAAAGGATTGGCATCAGCATGATTATTGGGCAAGATCTGAGTTTTATATTGACCTGGCTAAATGGCTAATCCCTGGGGATTATAGGGACCTTATAGCTGATGAAATTGGTTTTCAGTAACCACTCATCATAAAGTCCAGTGTCTGGGTGGTGAGACAAGGG